TGCAATCTGAGAATCACTGCTCCGATTTTAGCCATGAATGTAAATATGGGGCTGATATTTGATATATAATGTAATGCCACGTTGCAATGAGGAATGCAGATACATATGAGATTTACTTAAACTGTTCTACTTTTGAATTAAACACGGTATACTTAAAATTCTAATGACCTCTGAAATTTCTTTAATTTAAAGCTGAACGATATTCAATTCCCGTAAGACTGAAGAAAGTTGTTTTCCTTGTAACACTGAAATTAATGGTTTTTCTTTTCTTTTTAGGCTTCAATTTAATTTTGACTGTGTCCTGTAATTTCACGAAAGGCTATCATTAGAATTTCCAGAGTATTTACTGTCTGAAATCGATTGACCAATTTAAGATTGCAGCCAATCTTTCTTCATACCCACCACGTTGTTAGTCTATTCTGCCAAGCTATTTGTCCAGTAGGTGTGATCATATATTTCTCTTAAGTTTGACGGTCCGTTTTTTTTTTTGGGGGGGGGGGAGGGGGGTTACCCATACAAGTCCTAATAAAAACTATCAGATATCTGAGTAATCTTGGATCACTGCTACTGGACCATATACATCTACCTTATATGCATGAGAAAATAAGATGTTAGCTGCTTGGAACAATAAAGGTGGTGCTTGCACTAACAACATAATAAACAAGGTTTTTCATATAAAAGGCGATGTATTTTGATAAAGAAGCTTAGTTAACAATGAAAATTACAACACAATGAACATGATGTTTAATCGTTAAGAACTAATTTTGGTGTTGTGTATTTAAGATGGAAGCATTAAAGATTTACATAAACGGTTTGAATAAGAGAAAATTTTATTTTTTTGTCAACAACACGGATAACAAAATCGTCTATAGGTCAACATACAGTCTTCAACATAAGCCTTCAACAATCGAAAATTGTCTATACAATAGACCAACTCTATTTAAAATCGTCCCAAGTCTGAAAAAATTATTATAAATTAAACAGACATTATCAAAGATCTGTCATCAATAACAAAAACACTATGATACGAGTTCAGACAACCCCTATTTGAGTTCCAAAAAAGGGACCGACACATGAAGATCTGGCGGTGTTAAATTCATTGATTAAGATCTCAACCATCTCGACCAGTTAGATAACAAACATACAATTAAAATCAGTACAGCCTCGGAAAACATACTTTATTCTAAAATAACTGTGTTATTGATAACAAAACACAAATTCTAACAAAACAGTAGTATACAAAGTTATACCGATGAGAAACACAAGTTTTTATTAAATTCATGCAGGCTGATTAATTTTTCCAAATGTTTGGGTTTTTATGGAGATTGCCATAAACAGTAAAGAATAATGAGGTGAGTCTCCATCGGCATACAAATTCATGGCGTTATACTTCAGCTCCAAAACGAACATTCATATTTCAATAATTTGGAATTTCACCTGTAGTCGAACTGTATCACTAGCCTGTCAACACTGAGGTTGTTAGTTCCAATCACGCATGTTGCAGGTGCGCTGGACTCCAATCTTAATTGCAAGACCAGGATTGTCAGTTTCCTTCCAAAGGTCGTTCGTTCTCTCCGGGTAATCCGGCTTCTACCATCAATAAAAACTGACCGCTACGAAATAGCACAATAGTGCTGAACGTGGCGGTAAACACCAATCAACCAATCAGTTGGAAATGTGAAGAAATTATTAAAGCCAATATTCTCTCCTTTCTTAATTTCTTCATTGTCTGCAAATATTTTTTAATAATGTCTTTCAAAACATTTTCACATCGTGACCTTTTTTTAATCAAATGTGCATCAATAGGTTATACATTTTCTTTACATTTTCATGTCATTGAAACAGCAGATGAGCAATCTGCCTTTTGTATTGTGGTAACTGAACCACTATATATATATAAATTGTCTAACAGTGTAATTTTAACACACTATTTAGTATATAAATATTAAAATGTTAAAAAAATTTTACAAGGCGATAAAAAATCAACGCAATATTTCGCTAGACAAACTAGCTTCACGGAGCGTGCATCCATCCTGTCCAGGTGGAATCGGATGCAGATAAGAAACTTTTGCAGCTCATTGTACAGTGAATTTTTGCTGCTATAAATAAATACAAAATTTGAATGATGTTCAAGATAATTTATTGTTGAAGTAAAGGTAAGTTTGCAACGTCCATTGGTCAATATTACGGAGATGTTAAGGACGATGCTACATAATAAATTATTCTTTATCTTTCCTGTATCTTTTCTCGTCTTTTTCATTTAGACCATCAGCATTTTGCTGAGGGGAAAGTAGAGATCTAAACAAAAACCAGTTTAACCTCGAAACGTTTTCAAGGGCCTGTCCCAGATCAGGAACCTCATCCGTAGTTGTCATATGTAATGCTTTAATGTTTTTCCTTATTTGGATGAATGAGTATCATTTGACACACAATCAAACTATGCCATTCCTTTTCTTCATAAACCCATTGCTTCCAGATATCCGCTTGGGTTCCGTTAGAGTTATCCTTCTTTGCCTTCGGTTATGTTTGTAAGAATAGTTGGGTTTTTTTTTGCGTCTCTGGTAGTCATTCAAACGGTTATGTTTGTAAGAATAGTTTTTTTTGTGTGTCTCTGGTAGTCATACAAACGGTTATGTTTGTAAGAATAGTTTTTTTTGTGTGTCTCTGGTAGTCATTCAAACGGTTATGTTTCTAAGAATAGTTTTTTTGTGTGTGTCTCTGGTAGTCATTCAAACGGTTATGTTTGAAAGAATAGTTTTTTTTTTTGTGTGTCTCTGGTAGTCATACAAACGGTTATGTTTGTAAGAATAGTTTGTTTTTTTTGTGTCTCTGGTAGTCATACAAACGGTTATGTTTGTAAGAATAGTTTTTTTTTGTGTGTCTCTGGTAGTCATTCAAACGGTTATGTTTGTAAGAATAGTTTTTTTTGTGCGTCTCTGGTAGTCATACAAACGGTTATGTTTGTAAGAATAGTTTTTTTGTGTGCGTCTCTGGTAGTCATACAAACGGTTATGCTTGTAAGAATATTTTTTTGTGTGTGCGTCTCTGGTAGTCATACAAACGGTTATGTTTGTAAGAATAGTTTTTTTTTGTGCGTCTCTGGTAGTCATACAAACGGTTATGTTTGCAAGAATTTTTTTTTTTGTGCGTCTCTGGTGGCCATACAAACATCTTCAAAAGAAAAGTGTGTTTTTATCGCTCAACTCATCGCACAGTTTTCAGACAGAAAAATGTCTGCATTGTTAGTTACTTTGCAAGGCTCCGGGGAAAAAACCAATAACAAAACTTCGTAGTGAAATAGCGTTGATATATTTTACATCGTCCAAATCGGGGATAAATAGTTGAAACCCGGGCTAGCCCATATGGTTTGCTTAAAACACGATGAATTTAATGAAATGCAAAGTACTTGTTCTCTAGTATAAATTTGTTTGTTTATGGTATAGTATAAATAAAAAGATAAGAAGATGTGGTATGATTGCAAATGAGCCAACTCTCCACCAAAGACCAAATGACATGGAAGTTAACAACTACAGATCACCGTAAGGCATTCAACAACGAGCAAAACCCATACCGCATAGTCACAGCTATGAAAGGCCCCGATATGACAAAAGTAAAACAATTCAAACGAAATTACTAACGGCCTGATTATAAACATGTTTCTGGTAGTTTGGTTGTATACTCAATACTTGTTTTCGTCAATTCCAAAGTTCTTTAGTACAACAACGAAACATTTCGTTCAATATCCGTAAAAACATCTGTATTTTCTAACATCAAAATTTACTATAATATACAGTTGTTTTATACTAAGTCGTAAGGGGTAGAGCATAGTGTCCCTAAAATTATTCCAAACTAGGACTTAATATTCAAATCAGTTTATTTTTTGTTGTTATTTACCAGTTGTATTTGTCACAAGTATTATGTTTTACTTATATATGACAATAGAGAATTATTAGTATTTGATGAAAAGTCAATATGAATCTTTACTAAAATTCGCAGTATTGCAGTTCACGTGTATACTTTTTAAGTTCTTTCAACATTGTGGCGGGTTTTTTTTTCAGTGAACATGTTACCACAGAGATGATAGTGGTCAAAACTGCAATGTTGATAATGATTGCCGAATTTGTCATCGGTCTGTCATGCAATAGAAGTTCCTTCACAGGATAAGTTCCAAGTGGAAGAAGCATTCTGTAATAATTTATTTTTACTGGAACAAATATTACAGTATTTGTTTCTAAGGGAATAAAAGGTATAGGATATTTGTTCCAACAGGAAACTGAGATATTATGGCATTGTTTATAACAAAGTTTCCAGGTAAACTTCTGTTAGGCGGAACAAATATACGTTGAAAGCCAAACAATTATGATAATTAAGCCGGGACATTCATAATCAAAACCGAAAATTTATTAAAATTAAAAGATCATTCAAACTATATGTCACGATTGTTGAAGATACAGAATTCAGTTTATTTTTATCAAGTATATACTTAGATAAAAAAAAAACACAAAAAGACCACCTCTCCACCATAAAAAAAAAACAGAATTAAAAAAGAAATTCGAAGCTACATACAAAGGACAATAAGTCAATATCCCGTCCCTAAGTAATTAAATAAAGACAATCTAACCTGGGACTATTATTATAATAGTATAAAACCGAAGACTCAACTTCCACGATTTATTGATCAGTTCCACTACACCTTTTCTATGATATCATAATGACATTACCGTGCGTAATCACAATTTCCGGGTTAAACCAAGAAATTTTGCGACCGAAAGAATGTCATTGATCAGTTAGTTGATATCATAGTTGATGTCTTTGGAATTTTAAGCGTCGAAGGGGCGTGTCATTAATTTATTTTGCAATATAAGTTAGGTTGTGTTGACTTAAAAGGATATTTACTGGTACAAAAACGTTTTTTATTTGATAAAAGAAGATTTGAAAACGTTTATTTTTCACAGGAAACGTTTATTTTTAGCACATGAACTTTCCCTGTTGCACCTAAGAGTCACGTGACTCTCTGATTCAAGTTTTCTCGCTCTTTCAACCAAGGCGGGCGGCGGCCCAAAAACAGATTTGAATGTGTCTTATAAGTGCAGTTTTTGGTACATGAAAAGGGATTATATCAGTAATTTTAATCTTTAGGATAAAAGACATTTATTTAGCTTCAAGAGACATTTAAGTTTGCATTACTTTGAGTAGTTTCTTTCTGAAATAAAAGGCCGACAACATTGAAAATGGCGGACGACCCTTACGGAAGCGTGAGTGCACAAGAGTTGAAGTATTTGGCAGTTGATAGAAATACTATCAATGATCCTATGATCCAGGCTGAATGGGCTTCCAAAAAATTAATATGGGTCCCACATGAACAGCATGGATTTTGCGCTGCAAGTGTCAAAGGCGAACATGGAGAAGAAATGGAAGTGGAGTTGGAAGAATCCGGAAAAAGAGTTCGGGTTCACAGGGATGATTGTCAGAAAATGAATCCACCTAAATTTAACAAAGTTGAGGATATGGCAGAATTGACCTGTCTAAATGAGGCATCCGTATTGTTTAACCTGAAAGATCGATACTACTCTGGTTTGATTTATGTAAGTAATGGATATAATAAATCAGCTGGCTTTGGCAGTTTGGGTATCTTTTAAGCTTAGTCAGTTGAAATGCTGATAATAAGGTACCATTACACGATTTTACAATGGTAACGGTGTAAAACTACATTTGTTTCCCTGAAAATTCCCTTTTAACACATATTTAATACACCTGATCACCATTTGTTTATTAATGGCCATCACAGACATTTATGTAAAATATTGATGTCACATGAGAAAATGTCTGTTATATAAGTTCTGGCATCAAGTGTCGCAGATTCCCAAATAGTGATAAGGTCTACATGAATGTCTGCTTCGAACACACACATGACACAGTCTGGTCCGTAAGTTTGTCTGTCGTGATAAGTGCATTGTGTTTACTTAAAAGTAAAATGTATAGAAAAAAACTACTTGCCAAGATTGTATACTTAAATAAAACACACATGCATGTACCACAGAAGCAGAAAGTGTCGCAACAGAAAAATTTAGCAACCCAGACCTTAGATGGAGCCTCAGTGAACGAATGGTCAAAGTAAATTTTGTCTTCAGTGATCACCAGTTTGTCATTGCGGTACAAATAAGTCTAAAAATAGATCCTTGCTAGATCCTAGTGATGAATCAAGCAAGGCTAAGGAAATTAAAACAAGTTTTTCTAAAGTCTTAGTAGTAGACAGTTTGAATTTGGCTGATTTAATAAGGAATATGTGCATATAGAACTCCAACATCGTTACATGGCATCAAAAGGGAAGTAACCCTTGCTAAAATTTTACAGTCGTAACCTACTTGTACAAGTATTATAGCAAAGAGTGCTGAAAATTGTGTTAAACACCAACAAACATATTAACAACATAAGTGGTTGAATGGCAAATATCCTTTCAATTTGGACAAATCCGTGGTCAACTATAGTGAAGTCCTTAAACAAGGAATTGGTGTCATTGTAAGCTTCCATTAAAGAACTCACAGAAATTCAAATGTCAAAAAAAAAAAGGATGCTTTTGCTTGCACTAGACAGAATTAAGTAAAAGACAGTTTATCAAAGGAATTTTGTTGCTCTGTTTAATTTTAAAGATGATGAGCATGTACAATATAACATAAGTTCATGAAGTTGGTTGGAAGTCTTATTTTTTAAAAGGTTCATTTTATCTCTTGCGCATGTACATTTATTTTACTCCTGCTTATTCTTGAGGTACAGAAAGGACACAAGTCGATATTTGATAATGAATTAAGTTTGATGCTTTCTTTTCAGACATATTCAGGTTTATTTTGTGTTGTTGTAAATCCATACAAGAGATTACCAATTTACACAGATAAAGTGATAGAACTTTACAAAGGAAAGAAACGCCATGAAGTTCCCCCTCATGTGTTCGCCATTACAGATACTGCATACAGAAGCATGTTGCAAGGTTAGTTGTTAATAATATATAGCTTAATCACTTTGACACTTTTATGCCCCGGCCACAGAGGAGGGAGCATTAAGTGTTACCCATGTCCATCTGTACGTCCCAAAATTAGTTTGGGTTCTCTAACTTTAGTTTGCCTCAACTAAATGATATGAAACTTATACACAATGCTTAAAACAACAAAACACAGATCAAGTTTGAATTAAGGTGGCGTCACTTTTACCCTGCTAGAGTTATGCCCCTTTACAAATGGAAAAAGTGCTGAATTCTTCATTTCCGTTCTCACTTAAGTTTGCCTCTACCAAATGTTATGAACCTTACTTATAAACAGTGCCCATGACCACAAAACTCAGATTGAGTTCGAATTTTGGTAGTGTCACTCTTACCGTTGTTAAGTTATGTCCCTTTATAATGCTATATGCAAGCAGGGGCATCATCTGTGTCCCATGGACACACGGACACATTCTCTATTTATTTATCCATCTGATGTGGGGTTTACATTTGTGTAGGCTGTCCTTGTTAATCTTGTGACAAATGATTGCACTAAGATGAAAGTTTTTAAAGCTATTATGTACAGATTTTGCAATCACACAACTTTATGTATATATTTAAAGACATTCTATGACAGACAAGTTTTCAGGCTTGTAGCTTATAGACTGAACTGCATGTATATCTACATGTATCACAATATTTCACAACAGTGACTCCAGAGCTGTCTGATCACTTTAACTTATGTGATATTTTTTTCTGATAAAAGAAAGGCAACTCTTATAAAAAATAGTATCGCCCATTTCATTTTATAACAAGGACATAAAATAAGCTCTAAAGTTCTTTATTGAATTAAATGGTATGTTTTAGAAAAGTTAGTGTAAATTCACAAAATGAGGTAGCCATCATGTATGCACATAGATGTAACTCCTCCTAAGCTGCTTACTGGATTTATGTGAAACTTAAGGATGTACTAAGGTGAAATTCAAAAAATCTAGAATTTAAAATTGATACCATAAGTCAGAAGAGCATTAGTTAAGGAACAAAATAAGCTAAAAATATTGATAGGTTATGGAGCTCCTTTTCGAGATATTTGATTTTTAAAAAATGGCGGGAAAAGGCTGACTCAGACTTTTACCTTATATTTGCATTGGTATTATTTGGGTCTCAAATCGAAAGAAAAGAAATCTAGAATATGCTTAGATTTTGGAAAAATGACCTTTTCTGAGCTATTGAAGTCTTATATGAAAAGAAAAATGAGTATTATGGGGCAAAAAATTTTACCTTATATCGTAGGAAAAAAACCAAGGAGTCCGAACATCTGACAAAAATTCTTAAACCTCACCTAAGTTAAAGTACATCCTAAAACAGATTTTTTTTCACATTTGCCCTCTGTTTTGTTTTTTGATAAGATTGTTTTTTTGGTTTTGACATTACTAAATCCACATAAATCCAGTTAGTGGGATATGTCAAATTACACTGAAAACAATTCAGCTATTTCCAATGTATCTTTTCTATATTTGGTATTTGAAGATTGAACTTTTTAGACCATTGAACAAAAGAGGCACATCTCTTTTATTTGATTAAAAATGTTATATCATATATATGTGCATTAAAGTAGTCAACTGGATAGGCAGATTTAATATGATAAGTTTCAGATTAAATGAATCCTACATGTGTACAAAAATTTATACACTTACAGATATGAAAAATAAGTGAGGAGATTTATATCCTTAATAAACATATTGAATATGAAAATTCCAATTTACAAACAGTTTGTTTACAAAATAATTGAGATTTACAATTTCTAGGTAATAAAGTATTAACCTGTTTACCTTTTATCAGTTTAGCTAGGTCATTGTTATTTGTCTTAAATATAAGCATTTACTAATAGATTTTTATGGGAAAGGTCATTATGGTTAAAATGGTTAGCTTGATTACTTAGTTAATTTCAATGATGTTTGAACTGATGTTACATGTAAATGTTTACATTGTTCTTATGTAAGAAATTTAAGAACTTATTTAATGACTAGTTTATTATCAGTAAATGTTTAAAAATATACAAAAATACAAAATATATAAAATTATTATGCAATTATTGTTAATGTTATGTAAGACACATGATGTGTTAGGCTCTGATCCTGTCCAATATATGATAGTATTATATTAGGATATAGTTTTTCTTTTTTCCAATCATATTGTGCTTAATATTGTTGTAAATGATGCCCTTTATGGGTTCTTGATTAGATTAATAAAATTCTTATCTGTTTATTTCTGACCTGACATTTTAATCTGACATTTTTGTTTAAAATATTAACAGATGGATGTTGCTCATTGGATCATCTGGCAACTTTATCAGATTTAAGAAAAAATAAAAGCATTCCAAAATAACATGAAGGTTTTCAACTGCTAAAAATACATTTTACAAGAAATATAAATTGCATGTGTATGTAGTGAATGTCTTATTATAAAGTTGCCATGCACACACATTTTGCAAATAAATCTATAGACTTTTTAAGTTGAAAATATAATAAACATCTTTTCATTTTATGAATAATAATTTTCATTAGATATCCTTTTACATTAAGTAATCAAAAACAATCAATTGTCAACTTTGATAGTATATTTTTTTTTTCATAAGCTGTTGACCTTTCAGCATTTTTACAAAAATTTAAAGCATTGTCCATCAGATTGGTGATTTCTTTGATCATTTGAATCCACCACTAATATTTTTTAGACCAATGGCCAATAAATTTCTCTTCCAAAGATGTTATTATACGACCGCAAAAAAATTTTTGTGGTCGTATATTGGTATGACGTTGGCGTCGTCGTCGTCCGTCGTCGTCGTCGTCGTCGTCGTCCGAAGACACATTGGTTTTCGCACTCTAACTTTAGTTTAAGTGAATGGATCTTTATGAAATTTTACCACAAGGTTCAATACCACAAAAGGAAGGTTGGGATTGATTTTGGGGGTTATGGTAATAACAGTAAAGGAATTAGGGGCCAAAAAGGGGCCAAAAATAAGCATTTTTGTAACTTCCAGACATAACTTGTGTGTTAGTGTATGGATCTCTCTGACATTGTACCACAAGGTTCCATATCACTAAAGGAATGCTGGGATTGATTTTGGGGGTAATTGCCTCCAAATTTTAGGAATTAGGGGCCAAAAAAGGGGCAAAAAACAAGCATTTTTATAGTTTCATGACAATAACTTGTGTGTAAGTGTATGGATCTTTCTGAAATTGTACTACAAGGTTCCATATCACAAAGGGAATGCTGGGATTGATTTTGGGGGTAATTGCCTCCAAATTTTAGGAATTAGGGGCCAAAAAAGGGGCAAAAAACAAGCATTTTTCTAGTTTCATGACAATAACTTGTGTTCAAGTGTATGGATCTCTCTGAAATTGTACTGCAAGGTACCATACCTCAAAGGGAAGGCTGGGATTGAGTTTGGGGGTGATGAATCATAATGGGGGTTCAAAAAATTTTGGGGGGGGATTTATTTTTTTTTCCTTTTTTTCTTTTTTTCCTTTTTTGTTTCTTTTAAAATTTTCCATTTTAAGTTGGTTATTTCTGATTTATATTTAAAATCAAATAATAATGATATGGTAGGAGATACACACCAAACAGGATGTGTAAATTATTATATAATAAGTATTGTGCAATAGCAAGAAATTTTCAATTGCACAGTATTGCACAATAGCAAGAAATCTTCAATTGCACAGTATTGCGCAATAGCAAGAAATCTTCAATTGCACAGTATTGCGCAATAGCAAGAAATATCCAATAGCACAATATTGCACAATAGCAAGAAATTGTCAATTGTACAGTATTGCGCAATAGCAAGAAATATTTAATAGCACAGGATTGTGCAAAAGAAGATACTTCCTATAAATTGCTTATTTCTTGACCAATTTCAATGGGGTTTTATTCTTGATTTCATGGGGTTCTTTAATATGCTGAATCTAACCGTGTATTTAGTTTTTGGATTTTGGGCCCCGTTTTTAAATTGGTCCACATTGAGGTCCAAAGGGTCCAAAATTAAACTTTGTTTGATTTCATCAAAAATTGAATTATTGGGGTTCTTTGATATGCCGAATCTAACTGTGTATTTAGATTCTTAAATTTTGGTTCTGTTTTCAAATTGGTCTACATTAAGGTCCAAAGGGTCCAAAATTAAACTTAGTTTGATTTTAACAAAAATTGAATTCTTAGGGTTCTTTGATATGCTGAATCTAAACATGTATTTAGATTTTTGATTATGGGCCCAGTTTTCAAGTTGGTCCAAATCGGGGTCCAAAATTAAACTTTGTTTGATTTCAACAAAAATTGAATATATGGGGTTCTTTGATATGCTGAATCTAACCATGTATTTAGATTTTTTATTTGTGGACCCCGTTATCAAATTGGTTCATATTGAGGTCAAAAGGGTCCAAAATTAAACTTTGTTTGATTTCATCTAAAATTGAATTATTGGGGTTCTTTGATATTCCAAATCTAACCGTGTATTTAGATTTTTAATTTTGGGTCCTGTTTTTTTAATTTGGTCTACATTAAGGTCCAAAGGGTCCAAAATTAAGCTTAGTTTGATTTTAACAAAAAATGAATTTTTGGGGTTCTTTGATATGCTGAATCTAAACATGTGTTTAGATTTTTGATTATGGGCCCAGTTTTCAAGTTGGTCCAAGATAGGGTCCAGTATTTAAACTTTGTTTGATTTCAACAAAAATTGAATATATGGGGTTCTTTGATATGCTGAATCTAAACATGTATTTAGATTTTTGATTATGGGCCCAGTTTTCAAGTTGGTCCAAATTGGGGTCCAAAATTAAACTTTGTTTGATTTCCACAAAAATTGAATATATGAGTTTCTTTGATATGCTGAATCTAACCATGTATTTAGATTTTTTATTTGTGGGCCCCCCTATCAAATTGGTTCATATTGAGGTCAAAAGGGTCCAAAATTAAACTTTATTTGATTTCATCAAAAATTGAATTATTGGGGTTCTTTGATATTGCAAATCTAACCGTGTATTTAGATTTTTAATTTTAGGTCCCGTTTTTTAAATTGGTCTACATTAAGGTCCAAAGGGTCCAAAATTAAACTTAGTTTGATTTTAGCAAAAATTGAATTCTTGGGGTTCTTTGATATGCTGAATCTAAACATGTGTTTAGATTTTTGATTATGGGCCCAGTTTTCAAGTTTGTCCAAGTTGGGGTCCAAAATTAAAACTTTTTTTGATTTCAACAAAAATTGAATATATGGGGTTCTTTGATATGCTGAATCTAACCATGAATTTAGATTTTTTTTTGTGGGCCCCGCTATCAAATTGGTTCATATTGAGGTCAAAAGGGTCCAAAATTAAACTTTGTTTGATTTCATCAAAAATTGAATTATTGGGGTTCTTTGATATTCCAAATCTAACCGTGTATTTAGATTTTTAATTTTAAGTCCCGTTTTTTAAATTGGTCTACATTAAGGTCCAAAGGGTCCAAAATTAAAGTTAGTTTGATTTTAGCAAAAATTGAATTCTTGGGGTTCTTTGATATGCTGAATCTAAACATGTGTTTAGATTTTTGATTATGGGCCCAGTTTTCAAGTTTGTCCAAGTTGGGGTCCAAAATTAAACTTTGTTTAATTTTAACAAAAATTGAATATATGGGGTTCTTTGATATGCTGAATCTAACCATGTATTTTGATTTTGGACATTGGACCATAATAGGTAAATTAAAAAAAATTCAAGTTCTTAGACCACATTCTTTCTGTGTCAGAAACCTATGCTGTGTCAAATATTTAATAACAATCCAAATTCAGAGCTGTATCAAGCTTGAATGTTGTGTCCATACTTGCCCCAACTGTTCAGGGTTCGACCTCTGCGGTCGTATCAAGCTGCGCCCCAGCAAAGCATTTTATTTTTTAAAATCTTTTGATCAGCATTTCTAAATCTTATTATTAGATTGCAGAATTTTATATATTTTGCCATCTGGTATAGGACTGATAACAAATCTAAAAAGCAGTTTGAAGTAAACATTAACTAGACTTCAATTTTTTTTTTAAAAGTATGACTTTGTTATGATGTGATGGTTCCGGACTGGATTTTATGAAGTACATGTAGTGGAAATTCTGTGTACATGTAAAAGAAACAATTGCATGAAAGGCAAATGGATTGCAACATTTTTTTTCTCAGAATTAGTTCATTGCATATCTTCCCTTTTAAAAGTGATTATTACAAATAAAATGCTGACTCTTGTTAAAATTATCCACCAGATACTTATCTACTGAGTAAGGTTGCTACTGAAATGTGGGGTGAAGTGTTCAAAGTCCTCTAAGAGTTGAGTTTGGCTCCGTGAAATTTGTAAAAATGACAAAGCAATAAACTACTAATTTTTCGATAACGTTCTATAAATGTGTGACCCTGAAAAAATTTATATTTGGGAAACAACTTGGTCCAATTAGTTGTCAAGCTGCATACCAGCTTTTGTCTCTGTGATTGGCTGTAAATGGGATACATGTACCATGTGAAATGTAATTGTTGAAAGCATACATGTGTGTACAGGTGCAGTTCAACCCTTTATTTGTAAAAGCTCTGGTTCCAAATGTCAGATGTTGCGGTAAACGTCTGTTTGATATATAAACAAGAGTAATTGTTTGTACACTTATCAGGTATGAATTTGTTATCTCTCAAGGAATGTGATAAAGTTTAGGTAAGAGGATGAGAGGGTTAAATCAATCAATACAGTAATCAAAAGTATAATAAAACAGGTTCCTCTCCTTAGTTAGATCAATCAATACAGTATAAATCAAAAGTATAATAAAACAGGTTCCTCTCCTTAGTTAGATCAATCAATACAGTATAAATCAAAAGTATAATAAAACAGGTTCCTCTCCTTAGTTAGATCAATCAATACAGTATAAATCAAAAGTATAATAATACAGGTTTCTCTCCTTAGTTAGATCAATCAATACAGAAACCTAATGAAAGTTTACAGGTACATCAAAAGGCTTGGTTAATATGTACTTTAACATGTAGTACATGTTGGATATTTAAGAACTGTTTTTGTTGTGTTCATGACTCCATGTGATCTTTGAAATTGGCCCAGTTTCACCTGAATTTAAAATTTTGTCTTTTATTTCCCTAAATAAAAACAATAAAACATTCGGAACGTTCTTCTCAAAAACTGAAAAGAGTAAAAATTTGAAAAGCATATGTCTTTTTTCAATTTTTGCATTAAGATTTTGAATGCAGTCACTGTACATGTAATATCATAAGATATATATTTTTTTTTTAGAAGCTATATCAGGAAGCCCTGATACAAGAAGATAAAGTTCCTGAACACTTAAAAACACTGAAAGTTATTTAATCAACTTCTTCAAGTATAAACAATTTGTCAGTAAAACTATTCAGCCTGAGGGGAAGTTGTTTTCCCAGCTTAGTGAAAATATTTCCTGTTTGTTCATGTATAGACCATACTTTCACCTTTTAAGTTGTATAAGTGTGGATTTTGTAACTCTAGAATACTTTTTGCTAAATGAGATATTTTTATTTCAGACTTAATAAAAACATGTTTTAAATGGACATTTAAAACATTTGTAAACTCCATCCCCCAAGTTATTGCTGAGACTTGTTTGTGTTATATATAAGAGAGGGTTTTCAGCGGTTACTTTCGTTTTATTTTATTGGTTGTTTAGAAGTGCATGCTTCAATAGAGATATAAATGGACATGTGCATATTTCTAAAGATACATATACCTGTCAGTATCAGAACACCATAAAATGAATTGACATTTCCTGATCAAATTGTTTACCTTAGAGTTAGAAAACCCTCTTTGTTTACTGTTTGCATTATTTTTGGAGGTTAAACAGCCAGATCTAACCTGTAGAACAGAGTTAGTAACATGGTTTTGTTTACTTCTGCCTAGCAGTTACTTTTATAACTTAATAAATGGTTTGCTTATTTTTTTTTCAGATAGAGAAGATCAGTCCATTCTTTGCACGTATGTATGAAATAATAAATAACTGATCTTGAGCAATACCAAATCTCTCAAAATTGCTTACCCGGTAAATAATATGTCAGTCAGGATTTCAAATTCTACAAGACTGCAATAAACTGATGGCCTTATTCAAGATGAATTCATAAAAAATATATATATATATACCAGTAATGTTTGACATTGATTTTTCAACCAGTTCCAGTTATTCATTCCAAACATAGGCAATAGACAAGCAAAACTTAGTTATGATTTGTTCCTAAATCCTTCAAGAAAACCTCAGAGATGAATCTGAATAAAATCATATTCATATGAAGACATGGGAAGCCAATATAACTAAGGGGTCAGGTTTTTGCTGCATTTTCTAAGTAAAAACCAAAGTGACTAGATAACATATTTCTCTTTTATTTGATAACATTAAATTGATATAAAAATTGTTGAGTTTCTCAAAATCTACCTTTAAAAACTTCATGATTTACTGCTCTGATCACTTGGATATATTGATTCCTGGCTTGTTTGACCAATAATTTTTCATGAAATTTGGTTTTGATGTATATGGTGATAGCAGTTTGAACTTTTATTTTTCTGGAATGTGTTTCTTATGGACTTGGTTGACAGCAGTTTGTCTTATGACATGAACTTCATCTACCATCAAGTTATTTATGACCTTTATAAAAGAAATGTTGTCAATGTCATTTCACAATAAGTTTTAGAATAGAGAAGCTCCTAAACAGAAATTTATGACTGATATAAAAATATTAGATATGTTGACTTGGTATGATGTAGCTTTGGGCTGAAGTGGTCTCCGTCATAACGGTTATTCAACCTATACATGTAGCCAGGTACAAGAGTGATTAATGATGACTTATTTTTACTGAAAATACAGAAAATTCAGATTTTGGAGATGGCATTGGAAAATGATTTTTAAAAAATTGATCGAGTTTCTTTGTTACCTTCATGCTACATGCATGACATGTAAATATAACAAACTTTGAAATTCTACCTTTTCAAAAAATCCTTTGTATATTTTTAATATAGTTTTGATCTTATTTGCAGAGTTGGACAAAAATGTCACATGATGAAATAGTATAATAATCTTTTGGCCTAAGCAAAGACATTTGTGTTGTCATAGTTTTAAATCTAGCTTTTTTGTAAGATTGGTGTAAGAGAAAGAAATTCTAAAGAACATAGGCTTATCCTTGTTAATTGAAAAAATAATGTTTTTGTAAACTTTCAAATACATACAAGATAATTGTGATCAAAAATGAAGTAAAGACAAGAAAGCGTAATAATGTTAGATTTATAATACGCTCGCTATTTTCAGTATTGGTCATGTTGTATCGAATAACATGAGCATGTCAAAATTACACATCTAATTATATACCCTCTAAATACCCTATTATTATTGGTGTTTATATATGTCATAGTAAAGCCTGAAGGAAGAAGATCTTAATTGTCAACATACATGATGTGTTTATGTTTGACCCATTTTAAAATAATGACCACTTAAATTTAAAGTCTTAATCGGCTATTTGTTTATGGTCATCTCACATTTCAGACCTGGACATCCTAGATATTTTGCTGAGCTTTTAAATTAAATCTTCCAACAAGATAAACTTTTGATTGTTAGATATCAAAGGAATGTATATGAACCACACTAGTGTATTATATCTATGATAGGTCTAATTTACACGTACAATGGTTATATTGAAGCACTGCCATGGACCAAATTTAGATTTGTGTTTGATGTAGTTTCAAATCAATCTACTTGAATTTTGTTTTGAACACTATCAAAATACTCACTATGGGGGGAAATAAAACATTTTAATTGAATTAATTTCAAGGGAAATTACTTAGGCCTAGAATATTGAAAGTTTGCAGAAAAATGGATTAGGATAATTGAAATGATAGACAAGTTTTCTAGCCATATGGCATAGGGTATTTAATCCTGAAGGTCACTTTGGGAATACCCTGTTTTACGGTTGACTTTGAAGAGATATCATTATCATTAATATAGAATAAATGTTATTGGAAAATATAAATATAAATTTGTAAACAATCTTTTAAAATGTTCTTTATGGTCTGTTGAAATAAATATATTAAAACTTTGCCTATCATTAAACTTTCATGTGGTACACTATTACAAGAAGCAAGATTATAAAATGATAAAGGAGTCATTTAAAAATCAAAATTAGATTTAAATTTAAATATTTTTATTCATATTCATAGTCCAGACTTGAAAATATTTTGCTTATCCCATAAAAAAGACAAACATGCTCTCAGACTTATTCAAGCATTACATATAAAGCATATATAGTGGTTCACATTCCAGAAATACGTCACACAATATAACAAATATTTAAATATTCTTGATCTAATGATATAATAACCACAAATGGGTCAGCTGTGTGTCTTTTACCTTTAACTGATAGTAACGTAATGACTCATTAGTCAGCCTTCCCTTATATGGAAAAATAACTATCGATAGGCAGGTAGCACATCTGTGGTTGAAATGTTGACGAAACTTCTATCAACCACCTTAGTGTTTTATGATACTCATAACATAGACACATCACTTTGGGTCATAAATTATTGCAATTTCATGATGCACTTATTTTTTTATGTCTAGATTTTATCTAATGGGATGTTTACCTTCAGATAAGTACATTCATGACACTGTCATTTCTGTTATTGAAAAAAGGGTTAAACTGAGGTAAAATTGATTAAACATGAACTTGAAACTGACAACACAAATTGTTGTGGGATGATAGTCCTTTGGAATTATTAATGTCCGTTTCAACTATTGAATGAGAGGCTAATTTAAAGTTTTGTGAAGATACATTTGTAACGTGGTCTGGAGAAATAAGAAATAAAAATTTCAGTTTCAATAATATTTAATATTGTTTAATGTTTTTCCAAACATATCATTGATCTGTCCATTCTCAGTCCATTCAGGCTACAGATAGGTGAAAAATTTGGGAAAAACTGGGACCATTTAATCCTGTAGGCCACTCTTTAGGTACAAGGCTTGATCTGTTGAGTAGAGCCCTTTTCAATTGATTTTTTATAGTTTGTTCTTATGTTGTGCTGTTACACCACTGTCCCAAGGTTAGGGGGAGGGTTGGGTTCCAGCTAACATGTTTAACCCAGCCACATTCTGTATGTGCCTGTCCCAAGTCAGGAACCTGTAATTCAGTGGTGCTGCTACTACCATTTAGTGTTTTGTACTTTGAAAGACTATTTTTGTGGTTTTTCATTTATTGCTATGATTTTGTCTGTCCCTCTTCAACTTCTCAGTTTTTGTTCTCCCTCTGGTATCGATCACAACTTTTTTATGAAAGATATATAGCAACAACAAAAAAAGATTAATAGAAAAAATAACAAACATGTTAATTTTTCATAATATAAAGAAGCTTGTACCGGTATAAGTAAGCGGACATTTAACAGGATGAAGAAAATCACACATTTCCTTAGTTATATTTTAAACTTGTGGCTAATATGGTTGATAATCTATAATCAGTTTGTTCATTAGCATCGTGTTTTAATTTTCAAAAGGAAATATTGTAATGTTTTCATATCCTTTTTCTCTGATCACAACTCAATAAACAGCCAAATGAAGTGGTGCTCATATTCAGGTGTGTTACACCTACAACAAGGCACTTCTACTGCATCCTGCAAATAATCTGCTGCATATATCTATGTTCAATTCTACATTTATCTAAAAAGCCTTGTAAATTTAGAATTTGATCAATAAAAGTTGTCAGTTTCTGACATTGATGCTGGTAATCAATCTAAACTTAATATCACATAAGGTATGGAAATGAAAAGAGCTGAATCTGCATTTAATCAGAGAATTGGTCCCATTTCTTCATTAGAATAGATTAACACCTACATCAAAGTCATTTTACTGATGATTGACTGGAAATTGATCACTTTCATCTGGTATTGATGTAGGGATAATTTTATATCTGTTTGAGAGCCCTTATCTTTATCTTTTCATATTTCATATTGTTAGGAGGATTTTATGATATTTGTGACATCCAAGTGTTTAGTAAACTGAGGATATAGGACTTTCCCTGGACTTTAAATGTCACAAACAACATTGTTTACAACTAAAAATGTGTGTTAATGGTATAACAATGACCCACCTGCTGACCTTCTTCACTGTGAATGTGAATAAAAAAATGCTAATGTTGGCTTTTTTAGAAAAAAAACATTATCTTTTTTCTGATCTGTGTACAAATTTAGGTCATAATGATTGAATTGTAGTAATGATTGTTATCATATTGTATGACTGTTTGTATTGTTTGTAGCAGGTGCTCTATGAGGTTAATGAAATATTGTTTTAAAAGTACTTGACTTTAAACCTACTTTAAACTCTTAGTGGACTTGAGTTTGTCTTAATTATCCCTTGTGAAGAGCAATATGTACAATGTATTGGCTATAAACAGAGCTTAAAGTACAGGTGTATTTAAAAAAATATAGTCTTGTGCTAAAATTACATATGCATTTTGCATAGTACAAAGTAGTTTTTTTCTCCAACATTCTTAAATGTATATGGCATCATCCTGTCCAATATTTAAAATTGTGTTTATGAACTAGTTTATGTATAAATAAGTTGTGTAGAAAATTAGATAAGATTCCTTTTAGACAGAATAATGATTCAGGATATGTTTGATTCATTGGTATTGGATAGGATGTTGACTCATGTTTATAGCACACAACATACTGTAGTCTGTCATTAGGAGTGTTAAAGTAACATGTAATAGATAAAGATCACATGTAATTAGGTCCTTCATTAAAATACTAATTATCATCTTTGTTAAGAGGAAAGATATAAATATAAACAAGTTGACACCCATTGAACTCTTGTAACTTTAGGATGGTAATTAAAGTTACATAGATGTAAACATATTGGATTAATTGGTTTATTGATGGTATAAAATGAATTCCCTTTTAAAAATTTTAAAATTGATAGAATTAGCTTCTTGATACATATTTTTGACTAAACAGGCTAGTACAGTCTTCCAGTGTATGTAAGTGCACTTAACATCCAAGTGAATGCTCAGTAGTTACATGTATTGTCAAACTGTAAAGATTTTCAAAGGTTGTTTTTTTTAAATCAAATTTAAGAAAGCATACTTGTATGTCTATTTTTCTGTGAATGGTCATATATGATATTCCTGTCCAACCTCTTTTTATAAGTCATGTCCCTTTTATCCTCATACCTATGAATTTTTGCTCTTTGTTTTATAACTTTTGATGGGATGGCTGTTTGTATATATATTGTAGTTTTAGTAACCAGCTATTTGAAAAGAAATAAAAATAGACCAAATACGAAACACAATTTAAAAAAAATAATTTAAATGATTCCCATTAAAAGCCCATCCCATATAACTTCCTGCAAATGACCTTGCATTTATTCTTTTAGAGTTTCCAAGTTTTGAAGTATCTGTTTCAGTACAAGAGAGTTATAATTAAAATGTCAAAAAAATACAAATTATATTATATATCCATTATCCCATGAATCTTGACATATTAAATATGAAATGGCTGTTCTACATGTATGATAGAAAAATAGTTTTTGTCAAAATATAATTTATATGTTAAGATAGTGTATGATAATTATGTGAACTACACCTGTGTATACAGGCTTTAATAAGATTGATTGGGGTTCCCACATTTTCTCATTTATTAACCTGTGTAATAGGCATAAAAAGTCTGCAGGTCATTGGACCTCTATAGATTACAACTGCTGTGTATTCATGAAGGATATTGATATTTAAATTGTACTATAGAGTTTAAATTCCGTGAGTGGGCTGAAATTTGTCTTGTAAAGTTAGGTCAGATTGTGCATTGCATATTTTCATGTCTGCCCATTTAAAACTTGAAATATTCAGTGAAACAGACCTGGTTTTTATCAGAATTTATAACTTTGTGTTAACACATTGGATCACCTTTCATGATTGTTCATATAGTTCTGTTGATTAAGCAGAATCTGCTTCTTAGTGCAAAAGTTTTTATTTGCAATGGTATAGTTCATCATATCCGGCACTTTTCAGTGCAAATTTCAATTAATTAATTGAACAGAAAGCATGAAAGATCTGCAGTCTACATCAAATTCTCTAAAAAATAAAGTATTGAAATGTACATGTAGCTATGAAGGACAATCGATGATGAGGTTCCCGAAATTGGACTGTCACACAGTCATCTGGTGGGGATTGAATTATTTTTCAAGAACTTGTTCCTTCCCCTTTAAATGTATAAGTCAATGATGTAGGTGTTGTAGATAAGTAACGGAAAATAGGTACCAATACACTAATGTAAAACAATATTATACAATTATAGCCTTTATATGAGGTCGATATAACATAGTATTGACCTCAAGCAAAGGCTACAATTGTTTTATTATTAATGAACAATGTAAAATTGGGGACATGCTGTATGCCCTGTGCAATATGCTGTTTTTGACCTGCGAAAAGCTAATCACAACAGTATTGGCGTGCAAACTGAGTTAATACAAATGTACATGTGATTAAGTTTTAACGAATCACAAATCCTTAAAAATATTCAATTAATTATATAAAATAGTACTCTTTCAAAGAATGAAACAAACAGGTAGTACCTAATCTGCTGAGATATAAAACTGACCTCTTACACCTGAAAATTTATTTTTGAGTTGATTGTGCCTCAAATCATGTGTTTTCTTGAGCATAATAGCTTGTATAATGTTTTTACTTGCGTTGAAAGAATGTTGCTTTTAAAAATTATTTGTGAACATAAAAATTTATGAACAGTTCTGAGAGATTCTTTTTATTACTAAATATGAAATTTGAACAGCTGATCCCTATCTGTCAGTAACTTTGAATTCCCTGACAGATGACAATACATGTATAAAAACAATTCCCTGACAAATGACACTACCTATATATAAAACAACTGTTAGATTTTAATGTATTCTGTATCTGGTAAACATGTATTTTAAATACTGTAAATTCCACAATAATGTCTTTGTTGTCATTGAAAAATGTTATGCTGAATGAAAGAAAATAATTACATTTTGTACACATAATTAACATCTGTGAGAAACATAATATATTCAAGTTACATAATACATTTACCTCTGGTTCAAAGATTTTTACTTAGCATTCTAAAGTATATATGTATGCTTGGTTTAAAAGATTTTTACTTTATATATATCTGGTTTACATTAAGTTGCTTCCTTTCCCTTTCAAATGAATAAGTATTTGATGTGTGAAGAAGGAAAATAGCCAGTTAAAATTACAATTAAACAGGAAAAGCAAAATCTTTTGATTTTATATAGACTTTCTTCGAAAGTATACCATTATAATTTGAACAACTGACAGAACATGTGATTTTATATAGACGTTCATGTTAATAAGACAATTCTTGGTTTATATATTTTTTAGTGTTCCACCTATCAAGCATTCAAAATGCATCAAAATAGACAAAATGCCTTAACCTGAACTGTATTACAAATGTGTATTTAACCATGGTTTTCAGGTGACATAATCTGAACATTGTTATATATAAATGTATGTATTCCTTTATTTTGCAGAGGAGAATCTGGAGCAGGTAAAACAGAGAACACCAAGAAAGTTATCCAATACTTAGCCTACGTAGCTGCTTCTAACAGAACCTCTTCACAACAACGTTCATCAGTGTCTAATTTACATATACCCGTAAGTATTGGCTTGGTTGATGGTTGTAGCAAGTCAGGGTTGGTTTGGTTTAGAGTGGATTTGTTTTGATTTAATCTCATTAACCACAAACTGAAAACTATATTTACAAAGGAAAAACAGGGGAACCAATAAATCTGATCTTTTTTTGAATGCAAAGTTTTAAAACTCATTAAAAGCAAAGATTTGTTCTGTTTGTTTTCACTGGTTATCAGTTTTTCTGTTTAGATAATTATTTGATAAATAGAATGAATCCAGATCCTACAAGATTCAGTTGTTCAATGTTGATAATGTATAAAGCAACTTGCTATTACTTGTTGTTGCCTATGTATTCACAAAAAAAGGAGCAGTTAGTTAAAAAATTGTAGTTTGCACATGATTGCCAGTTTTATATTAAGCACATTGGTTATGGGAAATTAGAAAAATTGCTGTGATAAATATATTCATATTGTAGAAATTGTAGATGCTAATTTGTATTCAGGCCTCTGTATTGAATGGAAAAGTAGCAGGAATACAGCTTTTCTGCCAACAAGCAATTTTTGAACATGTCTCTTGGCCTTGAGTAGTGAATATGTCTCACAAAATTGTCCTTGAGTGTTGAATTTTGTATTTCATTATTATCCATGAGTATTGAACTTACCTTTTAAATCAGAAAAAGTCCCAAAAATTTTGTTCCAATTGAGAAAAAATTCTTGTTAATCACTTTGTCCTTTTTCAGAGGTTTGAAAATTCCTTACAATGAAATAGTGAACAATTGTGCTATTTATTTAAAGGGTAGTTCAAGTGGGTCAGATCACCATCATTTGGTAGGTGATAGTAGACTTTTATGTATTAACCCTTAGAACTGTTTCAAAAAGGGAAATAACTGATTCTGCAGGGTATTTCTTGGCTGTCAGAATTTTTTATCCTATTTGAATCAAAGAAATTTTTTTGTATGAAGAGCTAGTGTGCCCATCAATTTTCTTAAGTTAGAAAGGAAGACAAATCTCCACTATATTTTTTTCATCAACCCTGCAAAATTAGATATCCATAAATGTATGGTGTTAACTAAAATGTTCAAATTTACGTCTCCATATCAGTGCATGTGTCATAAATTGTTCAGTGTTTATCAATTGCATGTTGTATTAATAACATGTGCAGTTGTTGAAAACTAATGTGTTTTAAAACCCAAGGATATAAAATTACTCATACATATTTGTACTCGAGAAAAAATGCATGCATCACAGCTTTTTAAGAATGACTGTTTGTGTATGTAAAATACTACAAGCTTTTTACCGGGTGAGAAATATTAAATTATGAGGTGTCAGACATGCTTTTGATCAGTTCAAATTCAAGTTGAAATATACAAAATGTAAGTTTCAAGGTCACGTCCCAGTCATTAATTTGGCCTACTCAAGTGTTATTCAACAAGTTGGTTATAATTCTAAGCTAATGAAATTATGTAATATGAAATTATCAATGATAGGCATTTAGTTTGGAAGTGCCAGAGGATAGGTGCCTGATTGATGTAGAAGAAAGAAATTTAATTTTAGGCCTGACTCATCTACCGGTATTATAATATTTCCAGTTCAGCAGAGAATAAATAGGCTTAGTATAGGGAAAAGATTCAAAAATATTTTTTTTTTAAATTGTAAGGAAATATTAATATTGTTCATGTATTTTCCAATTCTGTATTTATCAGTTCATCACACATGGTAATGATTTTAAATCTGATCTGTTGTGGCTTAAGTCTCCACTGAATAAAAATTTGAGCAATCAGAATTTCTATTAACTTTAAACTTTTGTTACCATTTCTGTTTAGTCCTACTTGCAGAATGGCATTGTTTATTTATGACAAAGATAACATTAGCTTTTTGTTGGTAAATAGTCTGGGAATACTAGTAATGCATTTGTACAGGTGAGTTTAAAGACGTGTGCACGATCTACATAAATTACTGAAAAATCTTAAACCTGATATATAAACACTGATATCTGAAGAATTATTTTGCAAGCTCATTTTCATTTAGACAGTGATATACAATTTTCTGAGAATAACCTACTTTCATCCCTGGCATATGAACATGTCTCAAAAGTAGCATGGTACAGCAGTACAGAGAGCATGTGTGGCTTTGCTTCTTATTTCTTCTCTCATTGTGTAATAGAAGTAGAAATAAAAATGGAGATTGGATTTAGAAAAAAAAGAAATTGGCTAGAACTCGTACTTTGTACATCTGTATTAAGTAAAGGAAAATATTATACTTCTAGACTTATTTGTTAGATTTGAGAACTTTTTTTTCATCTTTATGAGACATATAATGTAATCACAAATTTATGAAAATTTTTGATCAGTTAAGCTTACTTCAAAATATTACTTTTCTCATTAATGAAAATATCAATATATAAAGCATGAGTAAATTATTGATTTTGTAAAGCATGAATAATATTTCTTGTTTCTTTTCTGTCTTGTGACAGCACAAGGATGTAAACCTTGTAAGTACTTTTTATCAAAGGGAGACAACTCTTGTTTGAAATAATCAAGAGGCATTGAACACTAAATAATTTTATGAAAACAACAACAAAAGTTAGGTGCTAAAATCCACCAATATTTTAGGCCTTTTCAGTTACCAGGGAAGTTATATTTGGTAATAGGAGTAAATTCTAAAGACTATAGGAATAATTTGTCTGTTGACAAAAGGATTTTGCCATAATTCAACTTGTAAATAACCATTTCCAAATCCTGCTAATGAATGTATCTTCTCCATGCCTCTCCTCCACAATTCCTGTAAACTAGGGAATGAAGTTCTGAAAAATTTCATAGATTATTTAATACATGGTATTGTAAACCTTCAAAGGGAATGGATTTTTGGGGTATTCCATAGCAAACATTGACTGCTATTTTTTCAAATCTAGATCTTTCAAACCAATCAATCCACTGGTTATATTATTGTGCAACTTTATTTATTTCTTGATGAAAGATAAATATTTGAGGGGGTTTCAATAGCAAATTCCAGTTTTATTGGAATAGAGGCATTAATCTTCAGAGCAGTCTACATCTAACAGTGAATATGACTTGGACAATAAGTCCTTACAATTTATATTTTGATATATAAATTTCAATGCCTCTTGTTGTTTTTAAAGTGCTCTAAAGTTGGTGTGCTTGTGTAACATTTGGTTTTTTTTAGTGTTAAAAATTTAATGTTATAAATGTCATGTTACAAATTTGCATTTGGAAGGTACATCAGTGTAAAAGTTGAATTGGTCCACTTACTCCAAAACCAAGAAAAATCATAAGTCAAATTGCTCAAAGTATTTGTATAAAAATCACAATTCACAGTTATTCCAAGTTTTTGTATTTGGATAATGATAAAATATTTTATTTTGCACTTACTCTACAAACATAAAGAACTATGACCAATTAAATATTCCTTGGAAATTATCAGTATGAATAAAGAAAAGGATCAAACTAAATTGAAAAGAAAGGGTAAGTGTCTAGCACTGGCACTTTAAATTTGATATCCCATAAAGCTTCCAATTGAAGTTATCAAGTAAAGGTTCAGATAGTAATATTTATCAATTGTTATTACATAAGAGGAGACATATTAAATCTGTCTACCTTTCTGGAAGGTAAATGCTAAAATTTTCAATTTGAGTTGATGGATTATTTATGTATTTGCTTATTGTGTGAAATTTTATAAGTGAAAATCTTGTTTGTTAGAATATTTTCAGATAATGTAAATCCATGACTGTTTAAGAAAGTAAATTACATACTGCAAATCAATTTGCATGTCTTAAAGTTGCTTAAACTTATAAATGAAAATTTATTAGGTGTGTCATCTTTTTACAAGACCACAAAACTTTCATCTGACAGTGATAAAACAATCAAAACCACACACACATTTAATGGTATAACCTTATTACAAAGAATTTATTTGGTAATTCATTCATGTCTGCCAGTTTCTAAAGAGATATGAACTACTTGTAGTATTGTCTTCCATTATTTGCTAAAAAGTTAGACAGTACCAACCAACTATAGGTTAATAGTTTTCAATGGGAACCTTTTAGGAAAACACAAATACCGGTACTCCCATACAATAAATGATGTAAAGTGGACCTTAATAAGACAACTGAAATTAATAAAAGATAACAAAACATAAGAAAAAATGAAACTTTTATTTTCTTCCTCAGAAAACCATGCATGAGAAATTTTGGAAACTTCTATTTGTTTTGAAGAAAAAGTGAATGAACATATTTTGCATCTGTTATTCTTACACCTGTATTCACATGTGTTTAATTGTCTCTTGTAGAAAATGAAATCTTTGGTATTTGTTGTTGAATAGGTGATTTGTTTTAGAAATTATCAATTGAAATCTACATGGCTCTGACAGGGAAAAATCTTGATAATGAAATTATTCCAATAGAGGATGAATACATGATATTACAATTGATTGGTTGGTGATTAGGATTGCCTTCCTTGGATGCCAAAATGTTTTGAAGGATTTATATATTTGCTTCTTTGTGTCAATAAAAGGAGATGGGTTATTAGAAAATGAGACTGTAACGTAACAACAAAAAATACCGAAGTCAAATATTTGTGAATTTAATTAGAATATGCATTTATTTTTTGTTTTTAAATTTTAGGGAGAGTTAGAAAACCAGTTGTTACAAGCAAACCCTATCTTAGAAGCATTTGGTAATGCTAAAACCATTAAGAATGACAACTCATCTAGATTTGTAAGTAAAGAAAACATTGCTTTTTCTATATGCTGCTTGTTGGAAAAGTACTTAAATGGAAAATTATGAAACAACAACCCAACAACACTAAACCAAATATAGTATCTATTGAGGTTAAATATGGTCTTCAACAATAGACAAATATTTATACATCTGACATCAAATCACCATTAATAAAAACATGTTTTGAAATTTAGGAGAGACTGTTAAAGGCATGCCCTTAACACTAAAGCCCTTAATACAAAAAAAACTCAAAGAATATCATTTACTGTCCTGGTGTGTAGTAGCACAATTAGCATGTGATGGAGTTGACTTACTTTCAGTACTCAAATCTCCCCCTTTCTATCTAAATCTCAGTAGAATAACAGAACATACAGAGAGAGCAAAATAAAAATGACCAGAATAATCAACCAGTTATTGGTATATACATATATTTAAGCAACAAAATCACAGCTTTAAGTAAAACATCAATAGTACTATATCAAGGAATAGAAAGCTAGTTTTTGATGCTATGTTCTGTTAAGTAAAACAATATTGATTTTGCCATCACAGTCTGCACCAAAATCTTTTCGAAATACTAGTCCGAAAAACCAATATTCTGACATTTGCCTTATGTGTCTAAACAAACTTTTGCAAATACTTACTAGTCCGAATAAAATTTTACTAGTCCACGGCATCAGACTAGTGTCTTACAGTGCAGACTGCCATATGTGCTTATAGTTTCAACATGTTAATGACTTCAACTCAATTGTGATACTTTCTGTCATATCCAACATGTATTTGTCATTTACATTGTAAGTAGATCTTTGCTAGACTATGCATAATTAAGAACATATGAAAAGAACCTAAAACATTTTGTCTATTAATTGTAACAAGAGCATTTTAAAACTCTTTAATATGTCCTTAAAGAATAATCTTACCTTTAGAACTGTATTTAATTTATTTTAGATGATATAGGTCTAATTTGAATGTTTTATATTTCAGGGTAAATTTATCAGAATCAACTTTGACTTATCAGGTTACATATCAGGAGCTAACATAGAGACATGTATCCTTGAAAAAATGTAGTACTGTAGTAATGAGCTTTTAAATTGACATTACTCAAAATGTTCAGTTTGTACTGGTATTTATTGAAATTTTATGTAACAGGTCATTTATTCATTTTCTGGAGAGAGAAACACATGTATAATGAGTATTTTTTATATCCCAGCAACAGTGGAGGGGGCATTAAGTGTTACCCTTGTCCGTCTGTACGTCCTAAAATTGGTTTCCGTGTCTTACTTTAGTTTGCTTCAACAAAATGATATGAAACTTATACACAATGCTAATTACCACAAAACACAGATCAAACTCGAATTCAGGTTGCATCACTTTTGCTGTTCTTGAATTATGTCCCTTTATAACATTATATGCAAGCAGGGGCATCAAATATGTCCCATGGACATATTCTCCCTTTTTTTTACTCAAAACTTTAATCAGCCTTTAAAGATAGAGATGAACATAGAAAATATTTGAGTATTTAGTATAAGTTAGTAATGATTGGAATCTGCATTTTAAGTATTATCAAAAAATCTTTTCTAAATAAATTTATTTTTATTTCTTTGTTTTGTTCACATGTAAGCATTATATTACCACTTGTCAACAGCTCCAAAACAAGGTTTTCAGACAACCACATAATGCTATTAAGTAAAGGGGTCAATGGGAAAAGAAATGGTTTGAGTCTTTTTTGTCGAAATAGTTGTTAAGCTTTATTCCTTGACCAAACCTACAGATCTGTTAGAGAAATCAAGAGCAGTGAGACAGGCCCCTGATGAGAGATGCTTCCATATCTTCTACCAGTTTCTTACTGGTGCAACACCACAACAAAGGAGTAAGTCAGACCAAGCTCAAATATTAATGAATAATTATTTTATGAAGAAGTTTACAATTTTCTATATGACATCAATCCATAGAAGAAACTTCAAAATTTGCAGAGGAATTTTGCTTAGACAACTTAAAGAAATCCAATTTTCTAACTGATAGTAATCTAGTTTGTTTTTTGTTGTTTTTTTTTTAAAAGAGGAATGCCTCACAAGCAAACTTTAAATTACAGCTTTTTTTTATCAATGTCAAGTTCAGAAAGTTTTGTGATGTTTTCACATTCTGAATAATACTATTGGATAAACATCACAATAATTAATATTCTCTCAGGATTATTAATTTCAACATTTCCAGAGGTCACATTAATGAGTTTTGTATTTTTGTCCGTTGATCAACAACATCTTTTATGTTTTAACAAAATAATTTGTGGATTTTATTTTTCCAGAGGAATTCCTGTTGGACGACTACAAGAACTACCGTTTTATGACAAGTGGCAGAGTACCTGTACAAGGTATTGATGATACAGTTGAATTCAGATCAACAATTGAAGCCATGACAATCATGGGTATCTCACCTGAAGATCAAGCAGGTAATATACTTTTGTAGTGCTGTTGTTATAAGAAAATATATCCAGACATAACAGATGTGGGTGCTGTTGTATTTGAATATAACATTACCTTGTAGTCTGGGCTGATTTTGAAATCAATTTTGTTAAAAATTTTGTAAATCTAAACAAATGAGCGGACTATATTTGCTTTTTCTCTGGAAAAAACCTTATGTTATTTGGAGAAAAAATGTTCAATTTTTTTCCGGCATATTGACTGTATTCTGACAATTTGATGTTGAAAATAATGCAAAGGATATTTTACAACAATGGAATCTTTATAAGACTTTTAGCATGCTATTATCACTTACAATTAGTGGAATTCTGTTTATCAAGTGAATCAGAATTATTGTCTAGAACCAAAAAAAAATTGTTCATTTATTTGAGTAATATTTCAAAAACTTTAAAATTTGGTATGATGAAATACCAAGCTGTAACAATCCCTCTACTGGAAAAAGTGTTAATCCTCAGTAAGAAGTTGAAAATAAATATCATTATGGCATATACATTGTCTCAAGATGACCATATTTCCATAGAAATGGCAATGTTTTGGGTAATAATTGCAAAATCTCCAAATTTAGGTGATAAGCTAATGTGTTTAGCTGTTCTACAGATGATCCTGGAAACTAATACAATGTATTAAAAGCAAGAGGGGAAGAGGGGACCATTTCACAGTGGTTATAAGCAATGAAATAAACCTTAATAGAACAAATGCAGATTATACTATAAAATGTAAATGTTTTACATAAGACAATGATTATGTATTTATATTTTCAGCCATTCTGAGAGTAATATCAGCAGTACTCTTGTTTGGTAATATGACATTCAAACAAGAGAGGAGCAGTGATCAAGCTACTATGCCTGATGATACAGGTAAGTTATAGTACAAAAAAATGTGTGAAATAAAAGGACCTTCAATGTATTGTTTATATAATGGCTACCTAAAAATGTACAGGCGACCATGTATTGAACACACATATTTTTCTTCATAATCATATTGGTTGTTATAAACATTTAATTGGCTGTTGTTAAAATTTGAAATGACAATTTGGTTCAAAACTTTAGGTGACCACTGAAAAGATTTGATTTGTATAGAGAAGGGTTTGGGTGGGTGACAGTAAAGACAGGTTTGACTGTATATATATCATTATCAAACAAGAATGATTTTAGTATTACTTGACATACTTCTTGATTAGGAGGAAACCAAACTGTTGTTTATACTTATATTATTTCTATTTTTAATTTTTTCTTTAAATTTTTCAGTCGCCCAGAAATCATGCCACTTACTTGGTCTCTCAGTTACAACGATGGTCCAGGCATTCCTAAGACCTAAAATTAAAGTTGGTAGAGACCAAGTTACTAAGGCCCAGACCAAAGAACAGGTGAGACAAATAAATACTCTGTTTGACTGAAAAATAAATTGCTGTGAAGTCTGCTACAGAGGGCTTTACATGAAAAAAAGTATCCTAGAATTGAATCAGTTGATTTACAGTAGTCATCATTTTAGTAAAAAAAAAATTCAGGTCCATGGCTATCATAGTTTGAAACTTAATTTGAAACTTTCTTGAATGAAAAGAATCTTTATCATTGCATTGAGACCAACAAGAGAGAACACATTTTCTTCATTATTCTTTTATCTCCAACCATAAACACATTAATTTTTGCATTTTGACAGGTTGAATTTGCAACAGAAGCTATTGCCAAAGCCTGTTATGAAAGAATGTTTAGGTGGTTGGTTACAAGAATTAACAGATCATTAGATAGAACAAAGAGACAGGGAGCTTCATTCATTGGTATCCTGGATATAGCAGGTTTTGAAATCTTTAAGGTGGGTTTATGTTCAATCTGGACATTCATTTTTATGTGTATACAGTATACAAACATAAGATCAGGTGAAGGACTGTTTTTTCATGTGTTGTACATATACCTATGGCAGCTGTCCATAAGCATATTGGTTTTGTTTATATTTGAGGTCATGGCTTTTGAGTAATAAAGAAAGAAAAAATAATAAAAATGTTGCCACTGCATAATCTAATTGGTAGTGATGCATGTTAAAATTCGAATTCCGGTCATTCGTCACAAGATTTTGAGTGTCATATGTTATGGGGAATATCCAAAGTATTACTGTGCAGTAATAATTATTGTATTTTTATTTTTTAAATAAAAACATTGACAAAAGATAATTCCAAATTATATTTAGGAGAAGGAATGACACCTATTGAAGGGAACAGATTTTAAATTACTCTTGGCATACTTGTATTTCTTTAAGTTGTATATAATTTTTATTGATAAGTTCTAAAGCTCAAAAGCAGATATATTTGTAATAAGATGTGAGACCAGACGGAGACCAGCATAGGTTAGTTAGTGTGAGATTTCAAGTCAAAATATGTCAACCGATAAATTGTGTTTAATGTTTATTTTATAATTTTTATTATATAATTAGTTAGAAATGAGATTGTTATTAATGTTTTTATGTTATGTTGCTGTTAGCCATATTTATCAGTAGTATGTTAAAGAAAATATACAGAAAATATATCTTTATTAAAACAATGTATGCTATTTGAACGTCACAGTCAACAATAGTTTATTGATTACATTCCAATATTTTTTTTATGGTTCTTTCAATAAAAATTCAGGCAAGTAATAATTCTACCTTAAGGAAATTCAAAATGATTTGAAGAAAGGTTGACTGTGACAAAATAACACGTGTATATATGTATATTAGACATGTAAACTGACATATTTGTTGTCTGTTTACCCACAGCGAGCAGATGGCAAGGTAACCAATGCTCCGGTAAATTTGTTATGATTTGTTTCTGAAGCATGTGTGTTATAATGTCCAGTTTTGTTTTGAAGATAGACCTGCTATAAACTTGCTGTCTAACTTGGTTTCTAATGACTTTTTTGCACATTGGCTATACTTCCTGTTGGTTATATCAGCTCTTTAACGTTTGTATTAAGTTTTTGGATTTACAAATATTTTGACCTCAAGCATCATTGAAGAGTCATTATATGTTGAAGTGCACATCTTGTGCAGTAAAATTGGTACTGTTTAATTTTATTAGCTGTGAATTCCACCCAACAACCATAAATTTTTTAAGTGAAATAAGTGTGCTTAGTATCCATTGTTTTATAGCAAAAGTGTTAAGGGAATAAAGTATTACAGAGGTTTATGGCAGGAAAATAGTGAATCTTGGACAAGGTAATATTTAAGAAAATGTACAAACCATCTTCCAAGAGTAAATTTATGTAAAAATTATTTTTGTCCAGTATGGCCTTATAAGCTCAAGAGAGAGAATGCAGCACACCACATTATATAAAAAATTTGAAATGCTTCATGTCCACTTTTAGACTAAATTATACTGGCTGATCCCTTTAAGAAGAAAAAGCTGATACTCGTTTATGATAATTTGATTAATAACCCATAGTAATACACAAATGTATATGCATTGCACTGTATATTTTTTAATGGGGTGGGGTAAGTCACTCGGACAAGACATGAGGACATTTGAATTATACTTTCTTAATAATCACTGAAGTAGACACTGAACATTGTAGTTGTGTGTGTGTGTATTAATGATATTGTTTTATATTGTCTCGGCTTTTTGTTTTTGATACTTAATTACATCTTGAATAACTGACCTCAGTAGACTGTTCAATCTTAAATCATTTTGTCTTAAAATTTAAATTTATGCTGAATTCTAGGGATTATCTTTAAACAATTGCTCAAAATAGAAATTTAGGAGAAAAAAGTTTACAGACACTTGTTAAGTGACATATGTCATTAGAGACACGACATAGGTATGTGTAGTGGTAGAAATGACTACGATAATTTTGGAACCTACTCTACAGAAATACATGATAAAAAGTGTGACTGTATGACAATATATTGAAACTAATCTTATATCATTTAATGTCCATCTGACAATTATGTCTATAAACTCTGCTCCATACCAATTTTGTCCTCAAACTTATTTTACATAATTTCTATAGATCCCTTTCATTGTTTTGTCGTCTATTTTTATAATTTGTAAATCACTCCAATTTCGTAACCTAATATTTATTTTTTTGTGTTTTTATTTTTTCTGTGAAGAATGCATAAGCTTCAAGCCTTGTATATAAATGACATCACTTTCAATGTACTTTAAACTTTGGTTAACAAAGGTCCAAAAAGTCCATAAAGTAGTAATTGTCATTTTGGAGTGAGTCAAAATAAGAGTCTTTGATCTAGTCATTTACAGTCTTACCAAGGAAATTCTGGCATTTCATTAGAAAACTATAACATACTTTTAAACCATAAGAATCTGTAGGACTAAGAGATTCACTAATTGTTCTAATTTTACTTTTGATGTTATATGTGATTGTCATGGTTAATAATTTCATCAATGTGTTTTATGGCTGGAATGCTAAGTGGATTTTTTTTGGTTAAGATTTTTTAAAGTGTTGTCAAATGACTTTGATATAAATATGATTTTTTTTTGTTATATTAGAATAATAGAGTTGTAATATTTTTTTTACTTTGAATGACAAACTAACCTTTTTCATCTCTTGGCATCAGTCTTCGTCGTCGTCGTTAACTTTTACAAAAATCTTCTCCTCTGAAACTACTGAGCCAAATTAAAACAAACTTGGCCACAATCATCATTGGGGTATCTAGTTTTAAGAATGTGTCTGATGACACAGTTTGCCAACCAAGATGGCCGACATGGCTAAAAATAGAACATAGGGGTAAAATGCAAGTTTTGCATTTTATTTTGTAAACTGCTATGAAAAGTGGATATCTGACATGGACAAGAATGTTAAGCTCTACCTATTTTTCATTTACGTCAAAACTGTCAGATGACTTCTTGTAGGTGTTATTGCCTTTAGGTGATGAATTTTACCATTTTAAAATTTTGTTGCCTATTATCTCGAAAATTATAATAGATAGATAGAAACCCTGAATAGGAAAAATGATCAGCAAAACAAGAGCTACAAATAAGTCAACATGGCCGAAATCTTCAGTTGACTCGACGATTTTTACATTTTGTTTTTTGTTTTTTTGCCTTATATCTTAAAAACTATATTAGATAGATAGGAACTTTAGATATTATAAATGATCAGCAAGACATGATCTACAAATAAGTCAACATGACCGAAATTGTTAGTCAAATCCTTATTGAAGTTATTGCCCTTTAATGACCATTTTTCCCATTTTTATACGACCGCAATCGTATATTGGTATGACGTTGTCGTCGTCGTCTGGCGTCGTCCGGCGTCGTCCGAAGACACATTGGTTTTCGCACTCTAACTTTAGTTTAAGTGAATGGATCTCTCTGAAATTTTACCATAAGGTTCAATACCACAAAAGGAAGGTTGGGATTGATTTTGGGGGTTATGGTACCAACAGTTAAGGAATTAGGGGCCAAAAATAAGCATTTTTGTAATAATCCAGACATAACTTGTGTGTTAGTGTATGGATCTCTCTGACATTGTACCACAAGGTTCCATATCACACAGGGAATGCTGGGATTGATTTTGGGGGGTAATTGCCTCAAAATATTAGGAATAAGGGGCCAAAAAAGGGGCAAAAAACAAGCATTTTTCTAGTTTCATGACAATAACTTGTGTGTAAGTGTTTGGATCTTTTTGAAATTGTACTACAAGGTTCCATATCACAAAGGGAAAGCTGGGTTTGAGTTTGGGGGTAATTGCCCTAAACATTTAGGAATAAGGGGCCAAAAATAAGCATTTTTTCTAGTTTCCAGACAATAACTTGTGTTCAAGTGTATGGATCTCTTTGAAATTGTACCACAAGGTTCCATATCACACAGGGAATGCTGGGATTGATTTTGGAGGTAATTGCCTCAAAATATTAGGAATTAGGAGCCAAAAAAGGGGCAAAAAACAAGCATTTTTCTAGTTTCATGATAATAACTTGTGTGTAAGTGTATGGATCTTTCTGAAATTGTACTACAAGGTTCCATAGCACAAAGGGAAAGCTGGAATTGAGTTTGGGGGTAATTGCCCAAAATGTTTAGGAAGAAGGGGCCAAAAAGGGGCCAAAAATAAGCATTTTTCTAGTTTCCAGACAATAACTTGTGTTCAAATGTATGGATCTCTCTGAAATTGTACTGCAAGGTACCATACCACAAAGGGAAGGCTGGGATTGAGTTTGGGGGTGATGAATCATAAGGGGGTTCAAAAAATTTAGGGGGGGATTTTTTTTTTTTTCCTTTTTTTTCTTTTTTTCCTTTTTTTTTTCTTTTTATACGACCGCAAAAAATTTTTGTGGTCGTATATTGGTATGACGTTGGCGTCGTCGTCGTCGTCGTCGTCGTCCGGCGTCGTCGTCCGAATACACATTAGTTTTCGCACTCTAACTTTAGTTTAAGTGAATGGATCTCATTGAAATTTTACCATAAGGTTCAATACCACAAAAGGAAGGTGGGGATTGATTTTGGGGGTTATGGTACTAACAGTTAAGGAATTAGGGGCCAAAAGGGGCCAAAAATAAGCATTTTTGTAACTTCCAGACATAACTTGTGTGTAAGTGTATGGATCTCTCTGACATTGTACCACAAGGTTCCATATCACAAAGGGAATGCTGGGATTGATTTTGGGGGTAATTGTCTCCAAATTTTAGGAATTAGGGGCCAAAAAGGGGCAAAAAACAAGCATTTTTCTAGTTTCATGACAATAACTTGTTTGTAAGTGTATGGATCTTTATGAAATTGTACTACAAGGTTCCATATCACAAAAGGGAATACTGGGATTGATTTTTGGGGTAATTTCCTCCAAATATTAGGAATTAGGGGCCAAAAAGGGGCAAAAAACAAGCATTTTTCTAGTTTCATGACAATAACTTGTTTGTAAGTGTATGGATCATTATGAAATTGTACTACAAGGTTCCATATCACAAAGGGAAGGCTGGGATTGATTTTGGGGGTTTTCCCTCAAAATTTTAGTAATTAGGGACCATAAAAGGGCAAAAAAAACATGCATTTTTCTAGTTTCAGGACAATAACTTGTGTGTAAGTGTATGGATCTTTATGAAATTGTACTGCAAGGTTCCATATCACAAAGGGAAAGCTGGAATTGAGTTTGGGGGTAATTGCCCTAAACGTTTAGGAATTTGGGGCCAAAAAGGGGCAAAAAAACAAGCATTTTTCTAGTTTCCAGACAATAACTTGTGTTCAAGTGTATGAATCTCTCTGAAATTGTACTGCAAGGTACCATACCACAAAGGGAAAGCTGGGATTGAGTTTGGGGGCGATGAATCATAAGGGGGTTCAAAAAATTGGGGGAGGGGATTTTTTTTTTCCTTTTTTTTCTTTAACATTTTCCATTTTAAATTGGTTATTTCTGATTTATATATAAAAGCAAATAATAATGATATGGTTTGAATAGGCATACATGTGAACCTCCCGACGGGAGTACAATAATCCCGTTTTCAGGGGTCTCCTCCCCCCTCCCGTTGAAAAAATCCCGTGTATGAAATTTTTCATGAATGAAAAATTTCTGCCCAACATAACATCTCAGGCATCTGGTGTAACTGACATTACCTGAAGTTATATTTTACCTGTAAATCAATTAACATGCATAATTATATGGCTTCACTTGTCAGCTTGGGTGTCAAACATACTGGTAAGCAACGATTTTTACCTCAGGCTAACTGCCGTTGTGTAACAAAAACTGTGTATTTATTGGGTTACTTCCCTTGATTTATCCTGTTTTAAGTTACTTTCCTTTTAATAATGAAAATTTTTAAAAGAATATAAATAAAATATAAATTGAACAAATAATCATAAAAGGATGGTTATTAAATGATTTTAAATGTCTTAGGACAAATAAAAAAATAATAATTTGAAAATTATTTGAGGATTCTATACTTCCTTTTAAGGCTTAAATTGAAATTTATATAATAACTATGACCCTAACTTTACAGATTGAATGAATTTCTGAGTTTGCAAATAAAAACTATTTGCAAGAGAAAAAAAAAAAAAATAAAAACTATTTGCAGACAGCTAAACAAATGTTCTGGTTGCAATGATTGTTTTATAGAATATGAAGTAAAAAATTTAAAGAACATACTGGAAATAAACAATGTTAGATTGAACATGTAGAATATAAAGATGGAGAAACTTTATAAGTACAAGGGTACTATAAACATAATAAATTGGTTGGAAAGTTGAAGAAAACACACTTTAAAAGACCATTTTTACAGCACACGGTTACATTTACAACAAAATTAATGTCGATTAAAAACCTCCTGATCCGAGTCCTAATCTCCTGACCAAAATTTCCCAATCTCCTGATCCGAGTTTCACAGTCCATCACATGTATGAATAGGTAAATTGAAAATTTTTAAGTTCTTAGACCACTTTCATTCTGTGTCAGAAACCTATGCTGTGTCAAATATTTAATTACAATCCAAATTCAGTGCTGTATCAAGCTTGAATGTTGTGTCCATACTTGCCCCAACTGTTCAGGGTTCGACCTCTGCGGTCGTATCAAGCTGCGCCCCAGCGGAGCATTTTATTAAATTTTCCATTTTAAGTTGGTTATTTCTGTTTTATATTTAAAAGCAAATAATAATGATATGGTAGGAGATACACACCAAACAGGATGTGTAAATTATTATATAATAAGTATTGTGCAATAGCAAGAAATTTTCAATTGCACAGTATTGCACAATAGCAAGAAATCTTCAATTGCACAGTATTGCGCAATAGCAAGAAATCTTCAATTGCACAGTATTGTGCAATAGCAAGAAATATCCAATAGCACAATATTGCGCAATAGCAAGAAATTGTCAATTGTACAGTATTGCGCAATAGCAAGAAATATTCAATTGCACAGTATTGTGCAATAGAAGATACTTCGTATAAATTGCTTATTTCTTGACCAATTTCAATGGGGTTTTATTCTTGAATTCTTGGGGTTCTTTAATATGCTGATTCTAACCATGTATTAAGTTTTTGGATTTTGGGCCCCGTTTTTAAATTGGTCCACATTGAGGTCCAAAGGGTCCAAAATTAAACTTTGTTTGATTTCATCAAAAATTGAATTATTGGGGTTCTTTGATATGCCGAATCTAACCGTGTATTTAGATTCTTAATTTTTGGTTCCGTTTTCTAATTGGTCTACATTAAGGTCCAAAGGGTCCAACATTAAACTTAGTTTGATTTTAACAAAAATTGAATTCTTAGGGTTCTTTGATATGCTGAATCTAAACATGTATTTAGATTTTTGATTATGGGCCCAGTTTTCAAGTTGGTCCAAATTGGGGTCCAAAATTAAACTTTGTTTGATTTCAACAAAAATTGAATATATGGGGTTCTTTGATATGCTGAATCTAACCATGTATTTAGATTTTTGATTTTTGGGCCCCATTATCAACTTTGTCCACATTGAGGTCAAAAGGGTCCAAAATTAAACTTTGTTTGATTTCATCAAAAATTGAATTCTTGGGGTTCTTTGATATGCTGAATCCAACCATGTATTTAGATTTTGGATATTGGACCATAATAGGTGAATGTCCAATTTAAAATTTTTAAGTTCTTAGACCACATTCATTCTGTGTCAGAAACCTATGCTGTGTCAAATATTTAATCACAATCCAAATTCAGAGCTGTATCAAGCTTGAATGTTGTGTCCATACTTGCCCCAACTGTTCAGGGTTCGACCTCTGCGGTCGTATCAAGCTGCGCCCTGCAGAGCATTTTATTGTCTATTATCATAAAAACTGTAGTAGATAGATAGAAACTTAAATAGCACAAATGATCCGACAAGACAAGATCCACAAATAAGCCATATTGGCAGAAATCTTCAGTTGAATCATTATTGGAGTTATTGCCGTTTAATAAGTTTTAACGTTTTTTGCCTATTATCTTGAAAACTATAATAGATCAATAGAAACTTTAATCAGGAAAAATTATCAGCAGGATAAGATCTACAAGTATGCCAACTTGACTGAATTTGTCAGTTCACTCTTAATAGAGTTATTCTCCTTTAATGATGATTTTTACTAAAAAGTGGCCACTGTTGAAGATGCAGGTTAGCGATACAGGCTCTTTAGAGCCTTTAGTATTATTTAGAATCTAATGTACTTTTTGACACAACAAATAACAGTGAAATTATACTGTTAGAAATTTTATAATTATATATTTTTTCCTATATTTGTAATTTTGAGTGTGTTCATTTGTTAAGTGTTGAATTGCATGGAAATGCATGTTACATATTGAAATTTAAGAAAGTTTCTTGGTGTGTTTCACAAAATAAAATGATGCATTTTATAATCTTTACAGTAAGAAAAATGTGTTTGCAATGTGGAAAAGAAACTACTGCATTTAAAACATGTAAATTTTATGATAAGAATTCAATTCTAAAAAAATCTTTTAGAAATATATAAAAATGTATTAAGTTGTAGTTTTTGATGAATATTTTCTCAAAATTTAAAACAAATTGTCCTTTGATGTCACTAATGAAAAATATGTGCTCCTTGAATGATATAAATTTGAGCTAAAGACTAGAGTGTAAAGTGTATATAATAAATGTTAGTTGATACACCCTAAAATTGATATATTTTACTGCTAATTCTTTAAATTTGCCTTTTTCTATAATTTGTGTTTTTATTTTCAGATGAACTCCTTTGAACAGTTGTGCATTAATTACACCAATGAAAAGCTGCAACAGCTGTTTAACCATACCATGTTCATCTTGGAACAAGAGGAATACCAGAGAGAAGGAATTGAATGGAAATTTATTGACTTTGGTTTAGATTTACAACCTACCATTGATTTATTAGAAAAGGTTAGTGGTATTTGAAATTTAAAATATGCCATTGATTTATGAGAAAAGGTCAATGTTATTTTAGATGTACAACCTGTCATTAATTTATCAGAGATAGTTGGTGTTTTTTTCATTTTTCACTTGTTTACGTAGGTGGACTTGTGATTGATTGCAACACACAAAGCAAAATCAATAGGAAATTTAAACATGAATTTTGATATATACATTAAATTACTCCTAAAAATGAATTCAAGCCGTGACATAAAAAAAACTAGGGAAGAAAAAATGTTGCTTCAGTTTGCAGATTATTATTAGTATGACAACAACTGCCTAAAATACACACAGACATAAACAAATATCCTAAATTAACTCAGAACTTCTTAGAAGTTTGTATTTAATCAAAAAGTGTTAGAGATTTTTGTTGCCAATCAAATATCACACTTTTTAGGATATATGTTTTATAATGATATTAAAGATTGTATATTATAAGTCATCAATTGCAGTTCTTCTTAACTCAGATTTTTTATATGATTGAATATTTTAATGACTACAGTAAACTAAATAAATTTTCTTTTATACAGCCAATGGGTGTTCTTGCCTTATTAGATGAAGAGTGCTGGTTCCCTAAAGCTACAGATAAATCTTTCATTGAGAAAGTTGTTTCCCAACATTCCCAACACCCTAAGTTCAGGAAACCAGACTTCAGGGCAGATGCTGACTTTAGTCTTATCCATTATGCTGGACAGGTAGGGATTAATGTTTAATCTGTAATTTGATTTTCCCTAGTTTATCTGCATAAAGGAAATGCAAAATTGCTTATGGTACATAATATTTTAGGATCTTGACATTTTGAAAAGTAGTACATTGAGAATTTCTGGCTAAAATTGAAATGATGTACCTCTTGGTACCTCCAATTTTTAATGCTCATACATGTAACTTGTGGTTTTTCAAAATAATGAATATGAATTGGGACCTGAAGTTTTTAATAATTACCAATTTTACAAATTGGAAAATTATTTTATTTTTATATTATTATTATTTTGTTTCACAGGTCGATTACAGTGCCCAACAGTGGTTGATGAAGAACATGGACCCTCTAAATGAAAATGTGGTATCCCTTCTACAGAATTCATCAGATTCCTTTGTCAGTGCTATCTGGAAAGATGGTAAGTTTTGACATATATGAATGACAAAATGGTCATAGGTTTAAGCCATTATCACAAAGTTATAAAATATAGGATATGACAAAACACATAATTAACAGTACCTGGTGATAATGCATAGCATGACCTGTTTCAGTCCTTCATGGACCTTCTTCAGAGGCAGAGTGATAGATTAATAGTTGCACCCTATTTATATAGATCTGGTATCTGGAGGATAAAAGTTGTCCTGTATCCGGCAGATAAGAGTTATGTATCTGGCGGATATCTTTACAGGATCAATTCTCCTTTCAGCTAAATTCCAGTGGAATTTTCCTTAGTTATGGTGAACTTTATGCAAAAGATTTACATGTTACGGTAAACATTTAACCTAATGATATAAACCCAAATTTGGGCTTCTACATTGTGGTATAGGGTGTCTTCACTGAAATTCAATTACATGATAGTTATGCAAGTCTTGATGTTTTGGCTTATGATTGGTCGATAAATCAAGTCTAATATTAGTGTTACATGGAAGTCATGCAGTCTTGACGTTTTGGCTTATGATTTGCCGATAGATCAAGTCTAGAAAAGAATTTATATTACATGGTAGTTATGCAGTCTTGATCTTTGGAGTATGATTGGCCGATATATCAAGTCTTATAATAGTGTTACATGGTAGTCATGCAGTCTTGATGTTTTAGCTTTAGAGTTCTTATGTCAGTGGAAAAGATCATAGGATATCCCAAATTCAGGTTTTATCATTAGGTTAAATGTTTACCATAACATGTAAATCAGTCAAATAAAGTTCACCATAACTAAGGAAAATTCCACTGGAATTTAGCTGAAAGGAGAATTGATCCTGTTAAGATATCCGCTGGAGACCGGATAACTTTTATCTGCCGAAAACCAGTTGCCAACAACGTTTATGTTAACTTAAATACATGATATTTTATATGATCTTTGGTTAAATTTATGTATTGTTATATTAAGATGCTAGCACTATCTCTATAGGTGATATTAAAACTCGCATTGAAGATTAATACCTGCAGAATTGGTCAACAACTGTCCAAGAATGTAACAAACTTTGATTTATAGTATATTGAAATTGACCTTTTGTATTGAAAAATATTTTGCCTTTAATAACAATAATGTTTTTCTGTTAACAAAGTTACATAGTGGAACATTAAAGTTAAATGTTGAAGTTGGTCGTTAACAATAGTATTCCGAGAGAAGATCGTTAATGTAGATGCTAAAAAATGTGTGTTATTGAAAATGAATATCATTTTGTTCTAGTTTGTCCAGTTAATAGATCTGTGCAAACACAATATTTACCAAAGTATTAATGTTCTTGGCCTAATAATCATTAACATTTTTTATTTACTTCAAGCGTCTTGTAAGTCACTATCAAATTATGTTATTATATAATAAAATGCTTCGCTGGGGCGCAGCTTGATACGACCGCAGAGGTCGAACCCTGAACAGTTGGGGCAAGTATGGAAACAACATTCAAGCTTGATACAGCTCTGAATTTGGATTGTTATTAAATATTTGACACAGCATAGGTTTCTGACACAGAAAGAATGTGGTCTAAGAACTTGAATTTTTTTAATTTACCTATTATGGTCCAATGTCCAAAATCAAAATACACGGTTAGATTCAGCATATCAAATAACCCCATATATTCAATTTTTGTTAAAATCAAACAAAGTTTAATTTTGGACCCCAACTTGGACAAACTTGAAAACTGGGCCCATAATCAAAAATCTAAACACATGTTTAGATTCAGCATATCAAAGAACCCCAAGAATTCAATTTTTGCTAAAATCAAACTAAGTTTAATTTTGGACCCTTTGGACCTTAATGTAGACCAATTTGATAGCGGGGCCCACAAATAAAAATTCTAAATTCATGGTTAGATTCAGCATATCAAAGAACCTCATATATTCAATTTTTGTTGAAATCAAACAAAGTTTAATTTTGGACCCCAATTTGGACCAACTTGAAAACTGGGCCCATAATCAAAAATCTAAATACATGTTTAGATTCAGCATATCAAAGAACCCCATATATTCAATTTTTGTTGAAATCAAACAAAGTTTAAATACTGGACCCTATCTTGGACCAACTTGAAAACTGGGCCCATAATCAAAAATCTAAACACATGTTTAGATTCAGCAAATCAAAGAACCCCAAGAATTTAATTTTTGTTAAAATCAAACTAAGTTTAATTTTGGACCCTTTGGACCTCAATGTAGACCAATTTAAAAAACAGGACCCAAAATTAAAAACCTAAATACACGGTTAGATTTGGAATATCAAAGAACCCCAATAATTCAATTTTAGATGAAATCAAACAAAGTTTAATTTTGGACCCTTTTGACCTCAATATGAACCAATTAGATAACGGGGTCCACAAATAAAAAATCTAAATACATGGTTAGATTCAGCATATCAAAGAACCCCATATATTCAATTTTTGTTGAAATCAAACAAAGTTTAATTTTGGACCCCAATTTGGACCAACTTGAAAACTGGGCCAAAAATCAAAAATCTAAATACATGTTTAGATTCAGCATATCAAAGAACCTCATATATTCAATTTTTGCTAAAATCAAACAAAGTTTAATTTTGGACCCTTTGGACATTAATGTAGACCAATTTGAAAACTGGACCCAAAATTAAAAATCTAAATACACTGTTAGATTCGGCATAACAAATAAATAAATGTGATCAAAGATTTTACAAATCTAATGCGCCATACTGTGCAATTAAAGATTACTTCTTGAAATTTTTCAATATTTGAAATTTGAAAAAAAAATAATATTTGAAGAATAATTCTTTTTAATTTCTGAAATCTGAAATGAGAAAAAATTGGCCCCCCACAATTTCTTTTTATCCCCCCCCCTTTTTCCCCCCAAAAAATTCTTTCCCTCAAGATATGGTCATAATCTCAATTCTAATTTCCAATGGAGTTGGCAACCATAATTACCCATTTAAATTTACCATAGTGCTAACTTAATCTATTTTATAATAGAATTAATAAAAATATAGTGTCAAATCTTTCATATGGATTTTTTTGTAATAAAAAAAGATGAAAACATTTGCAGATATTTTTACTGGTCTTCCTTTATAAATATGCATTTCTTTAAACATAATTTAAAAGCAGTGTAAGGGAAGTAACCAAAACGTTGTATTTGGATTACCTCCCTTACACTGTTTTAGATTATCTTTATTGTTCATTAACCATTACTTTATACATAATTTAAAAGCAGTGTAAGGGAGATAATTTCAATGATGTATTTGATTTATCTCCCTTACACTGCTTTAAATTATGTTTTGTACTAAAGTATTTGTCCATTAACCAGGACAACCTTGTTTTTCCCCCTTTTTTGCCCCTAATTCCTAAACGGTTTGAGCCATAACCCCCCAAAGCAAATCCTAACCATCCCTTTGTGGTATGGAAACTTGTAGTATAATTTCAGAGAGATCCATACACCGTTCCACATTTATTGTCTGGAAACTAGAAAATGCTCATTTTTGGCCCCTTTTTGGCCCCTAATTCCTTAACTGTTGGTACCATAACCCCCAAAATCAATCCCAACCTTCCTTTTGTGGTATTTAACCTTATGGTCAAATTTCAGAAAGATCCATTCACTTAAACTAAAGTTAGAGTGCGAAAACCAATATGTATTCGGACGACGACGCCGGACGACGACGACGACGACGACGACGACGACGACGACGCCAACGTCATACCAATATACGACCACAAAATTTTTTTGCGGTCGTATAAAAACTGCATGGAATATAAGATCTCATATAGTTTCATAACTTTACATTAGTCATAGTATTTTACTATTGTTCTCTGCTGTCTATTCATTTTTAGTCCCCTACCAACGAAGTCGAAGGGGACTTTAGGTTTGCACTCTGTCCCTCTGTCTGTCTGTCCATCTGTCTGTCCATCTGTCTGTCCTTCTGTCAGACCGGCAAATCAGCTTTCCACACTTTTTTCTTCGTTCTTGAAGATATTGATTTGATATTTGGTATATAGTTTTATCATGACAAGTTATAGATCGAGTTCAAATTTTGTTCCGGTCTGATGATTTAATCCAGAGTTATGGACCATAACTCTGGACCATATCTAATGTTAGAGTTCTATGTTAAACCATATTTCTGTACAAAGGGAGATAACTAATTTTTTAAAAGACATTCTTTGTTCAATTATTTGAAGAATTTTTTGGCAGGTTTGTTAGTTATTTAGTATAAACTAATTTTCTGAATGCTATATATATAAAAAAAAAAATTATGAAGAGAAATCCTTTAATTAGATAATAATCTATTTTTATTATGTATATATTTCAATACATTACATTGTGTAGATAAAAGTTGTTGACATTTTATAGATAAGTTACAATTCTATATTAGTTTGTGACAAATGAAAGAAAAAATATTTGGAACTATTAATTATATTTGATTATAATTTGAAAATAGATATACACTGTATTACATCATATATAATTTTAGAGAACTATTAATCATATCTAATGTTTTTTTCATCATGCTTATGCGATATTGATTGATAATTGGTATATAGTTTTATCATGACAAGTTACAGATCAAGTTCAAATTTTTGTTTCGGTCTAATAATTTTGTGCAGAGTTATGGTCCTTGGAATTGAAAAATTCACTCATATAATCAGTTTTCCACACTGTTTTTAGTCATGCTTGAAGATATTGACATGATATTTACTTTTTGTTTACACCATGGCAAGTTATATAACAAATTAGCATTTTGTTCCAGTATAATGAATTTTTACCCGGTAGGTGACTATGTATTGCCATGCAATACTCTCAGAATGCTTGTCTATATTAGAGATTGTTGTTAATTTTGCTAAAGCATTTGCAATAAAGATTCATTCATTCAATACAAAAGTGAATATAAGATTTAAAAAAAATAAGAATGATGTTTTTACAAATGTACTTACCTAATTGTCGTTATTGTCGTTTCCATTTAAAAAAAAAATCAAGATTTGAACAAAGCATATCTAGATGATGATTTGTTCTATGCAATTAACGGAAAGGCCACTTGTCAGGCTATGCAAATGATCGAGATTTTTACATTAGATGAATAGAAAATTATGCTATTAAGTGGAGTTAACTGTAAACCTGAATGACTTCTACAAAGATATCTTCACTCTGATATAGATTTCTGTTGTGACATCAAGGTTTAATTCCTTGGAATTTTTGACTGTACAAATATAGTTAAAGCTGTTGTATATTTCTGACTTTTTATGAAGATATAGAATATTAGTATAATAATTCTGGTGATTTAGCTGAAGTATTTGGAAATAAAATATTTATAGAATTAATTTGGTTTTACAGCTGAGTTTGTTGGTAATATTAGATATTTATAGAAATAATTTGGTGTTACCCTGAGATTGTTGTTAATATGATATTAATAGATTTTATTTGGTGTTACAGCTGAGATTGTTAGTAATAAGATATTAAAAGATTTAATTTGATGTTACAGCTGAGATTGTTGGTAGTAGGATATTAATAGAAATTATTTGGTGTTACAGCTGAGATTGTTAGTTATAAGATATTAATAAAAATAATTTTGTGTTACAGCTGAGATTGTAATAAAACATTTATAGAATTAATTTGGTTTTACAGCTGAGTTTGTTGGTAATATTAGATATTTATAGAAATAATTTGTTGTTACAGCTGAGATTGTTTGTAATAAGATATGAATTGAAATAATTTGGTGTTACAGCTGAGATTGATTGAAGTAAGATATTAATAAATTTAATTTGTTGTTACAGCTGAGATTGTTGGTAATATTAGATGTTAATAGATTTAATTTGTTGTTACAGCTGAGATTGTTGGTATGGGAGCTACAGCCGGAGGAGACACAATGTTTGGTTCAAGGACCAGAAAGGGAATGTTCCGTACTGTTGGACAATTATATAAAGAGCAATTGGCCAAACTGATGGCTACTCTACGCAACACAAATCCTAACTTTGTTAGATGTATCATTCCAAATCATGAAAAGAAGGTATTAATAATCAGAATATTGCAAAGTATAAACCTTTTTGATATGTATAAAGTCTACTTGACAACTTTTTATTGAAATAGACTTTTATTTCTTGACAGATCCCACTAGAATTTAAATTATAGTTTACTTTCACCAAAATTTTCAATTATCAGAAAAAAAACTAAATTGGGGAAGGTGACTTGCACCAATTTTGTATGGTAATTTATTTTTATGCCCCCTTCGTAAGCAACCGGGGCATTAAGTGTTACCCTTGACTTTCCGTCCATCCCATTTTTGTTGCAAAGCTTGAGCAGGGCATTTGTGTCCTCAGACACATTCTTCTTTTATTCTATATATTCTGGTGTACTATCTTACAAATTATTTTTAAAAAGACATGTGTACAGTTATTGAGTTACAAAGCACCACAAATTGTGTCCAACACTATAGCATGTCAAACATAATAATGTGTAGATATTTGCTTTTAATTTATAGATGTTCAACTTTCCCTTTAGAGCATGCTGAGCCTAACATAGTTATTCTTGGTGTGAAGGAAAGGAAAAGTGAATATGCTCATTGAGGTTCTTTCATTGAAGATTTTGATTTGGAAGTTTAAACCTTAAAACTTTCTTTCAAAGGACATTGAATTACCTTCCAAAAGGCTATGAAAAGTAAAAACTCTGTTATTTTATTTTTTAGGCTGGTAAAATAGATTCACCTTTAGTATTAGAACAGTTACGATGTAATGGTGTATTAGAGGGTATTAGAATCTGTAGGCAGGGATTTCCCAATAGAATTTTGTTCCAAGAATTCCGTCAAAGATATGAAATATTATGTCCAAATACCATTCCAAAAGGATTCATGGATGGGAAGAAAGCTGTAGAAAAAATGGTAAGATTTTAACTTTATTAATATTAACTACATTTTATTTATGTAATTGAAATGATTGAAAAGATGTGTTTTCTAATATTGATTTTCTACTGGTTTACTCAAATTCTGAATATCAGAAATGTCTTGAATTATTCATGGCCTACTTGTGAACTAGAATTCAAAACATCATGTGTTTCCCAAAAAAAACATCTATTAAAGGATTGAGTCAATATTTAGATTAGAAAACTTTGTGCACTCACATTCTGGAAGTTTTACTCTTGTTAAAGTAAATGTGTACTGCAAAGTTATCTGCAATGAACAAGCAAAAGCTTAAGACATACACTATTGTGGTGTATTTCTTATTTTAGGGTATTTAAGATTTGATTGCCCTACCTTACCTACAATAGTTAGGGGTGCTATTGGTTTTTGATCTGTGTATACATTAGTCTGTTAGTTCTTTTGTCCCATATCAGGTTTAAGGTAGTATACCATGAAGTTGTGGTCAAGTCAACTTGAAACATTTGTTTGTTGTGGGGCATGGTGTCAAATGGACATTTATTCTTGTTTTTATATTTCTTATGAAATTCTAGAAAACTAGATGTTAAGTTAATATCAATATTTCAGATCATGGCACTAGAATTAGACCCTAACCTCTACAGAGTAGGACAAAGTAAGATTTTCTTCAGAGCTGGTGTATTGGCTCACCTAGAGGAGGAAAGAGATCTCAAATTGACAGATGTAATAATTCAGTTCCAGTCATTGTGTAGAGGTTTAATAGCTAGGAGGTAAGACACCATCAGGCATGGATTAACAGTTAATGTTTAAATTTGGTTAATAGGAGGATAAAAGGCATTCCGTGTAAAATGATTCTATTACATTTTCTGCTTAACTATCATTAGCTTTAAAGATTGAATTAACTGAAATACTGTAAAACCATAGAAAAAATTGTCAAGTACAAAAAAGACTATTATTACAAAAAGGATTAAAAAAAAAGCAATGAAAGGAACATTCCCTGGCCTGAAAAAGATTTTTTTGCATAGTTCAACCAACATATAGTTTCTACTTTTATATGTGTTGATGTTACAGTTTCCAACTGCATCATGAACTTTTCCTACAAATAATGACAACAATAGTATACTGAGTAAGTAAGGAGATATCTACTGTTTTTTTTACAGAAATTACCAGAAACGATTACAACAACTAAGTGCAATAAGAGTTATCCAGAGAAATTGTGCAGCTTATCTCAAGCTACGAAACTGGGCATGGTGGAGACTGTTTACAAAGGTAATAGATAAAATTTTGCATTCACAACCAAAATCAAATTTTGTGCTTATGCCATTTATTGCAACAACAACAAAAAAACAATCAGTGAATTGTAAAATGTTGAGAAAAACAAACTTTTAACTTTTATTTCTCACAGATTGAGAAAAGACATTCATTTGAAAATTGACATTACAGGAATTATTTTTAATGTTTTAAGAAAGAAGTACAACTAATGACCTTTAGTATTTAGTATAATAAACAGATAGAATATAATATTTGAAAGTAAAAATTGGTTTAAACTAATATTTTGTCGTTGATGATGTCATAAATTTTGAAGATTTATTGCACTAGTGCAATATTAGAATTTATTGCACGCTAACTTTTGGTTACTTTCTGTGGGAAATATTATATTGCTATGCAATAAAATTAAATATTAATTTATCATTTTGATGGTGTCCAAAGCATTGAAATGTTGTACTGGCTATCTTGTGAAGTGTTTTGTTAATCATGTCTAATTTCAACATTATAGGTGAAACCATTGTTGCCTGTGACAGGTCAGGAGGAGAAATTAACAGTAAAGGAGGAAGAATTGAGAAAAGTTGTTGAAGCATTTGATAGGTCAAAAGCAGAAGTACAGGAATTAGAAAGGAAATATGCTCAAATTATAGAGGAGAAATCTATCTTAGCAGAACAACTACAGGCTGAGACAGAAATGTGTGCTGAGGCAGAGGAGGTAAATTATCAAAATATCAGGAATATCAAAATTTTTACAAAAATTATTTTTATCATTTCAAGTGAACACAAGTTACTTTTTTTAAAGGAAAATATTGGAATAGTTGAATCATTATTGTCATGGAAATAGCTGCATATAAGTGGCTTAAATTTAGTATGATACATAAATACAATTCAATAGATGGGTTTTTGTTAATCCTTTATGAGATTATATTCCACCATTCTGAATCTTTCAGAATTTTTGCCCTATCTGATATAAAGAAAAATTGGTGCAATAAGGATATATTTAATTTTTCTCTTCAAAAAAAAATGTAGTATTTGTCATAAAATAAAATCATATGATGAAGTTGGACAATGTTTTCTCTTTAATATAGTCTCGATCAAGGATGTCAGCAAAGAAGCAAGAGTTGGAGGATATTTTACATGACCTTGAACTTAGGATAGAGGAGGAAGAAGAAAAATGCAATCAACTGATTGATGAACGGAAAAAATTCATGCAAACTGTTGCTGATTTAGAAGAACAGTAGGTTTTTAGTTAGCAAATAATGTTTTGTTTGATATAACTGTAAAATCTTGAAAACAAATAGGGATAGATGGAAACTGTTAAAAGGAAAATTGATAAACAAGCAAATTGAAATCCACCAAATGTTTCACATGAACACACTGGAAAAGCGGTATTTTTAAACTAAATAATAATTTGGTTTCAGAAGATAAAGGAAGTGACATTAAGACCATGCCAAATCAATATCTTGTTTGGGATTCCCAGCTTGTTGGAAAAAGTCATCAAGAAAATAGATTTTTCTTTAAACTTGCATCCAATGCAGGTCCAACACATCCAGATCCAAATTTACACTACAAAATTTTTAAGTCAGTCGTGCATTTGATACAAAACAAGAGCTACATCTTAACAAATAAAATCAGACATATCATCATGAATAGATTATTTATCGTCTGAGCCAAAATATTATTGCAGAACACATCGTTCTTTGAAAATGTTTAGTATGGTTTCTCATACATTTTAAGTTCTTTTTCCACTAATATGATTTAATGTCAATATGACTTACAATATAAAAATAAGAAGATGTGATATGATTACCAATGAGACAACTCTCAACAAGAGATCAAATGACATAGAAATTAACAACTATAGGTCATCGTATGGCCCTCAACAATGAGCAAAACCCATACCGCATAGTCATCTATAGAAGGCCATGAAATGACAAATGTTAAACAATTCAAACGAGAAAACTAACGGCCTGATTTATGTACAAATTAATGCATGCTGATTTCTTATTCAGGTTAGAAGAAGAGGAACAAGCTAGACAAAAACTACAATTAGAGAAAGTGTCAGCCGATTCTAAAATCAAGAAATTAGAAGAAGACTTAGCTATTCAAGATGATTCTAACCAAAAACTGTCTAAAGAAAGACGATTCTTAGAGGAGAGAGTCAGTGAAATACAAACACAACTTGTGGAGGAAGAGGAAAAATCAAAACAAATGACAAAATTGAAAAATAAATATGAACAAATTATTAAAGAATTAGAAGAAAAACTTAGGAAAGAACAACAGGTATACTTCTTTTTCTATATCCCTACTAATGAAAGCTGTTTGTATGTAGTATTCATGTTGTATAAATAACTCATATCCCTTTGTAACTTTTGATCCAAACTTGATATGTGGGTTGTGTAGTTGTGCTTTAGGGCTATTCCATTAAAATGTGTGTGGGAGGGTAGGAAGGGACTTTCAAAATATCCCTACAACCAAGAACCTTTTTTAGATAATTTTGCATAATGGTAATAGACGCATACTGAAAAAAGACCCATGACCCACATTCAATAATTAAACTTCCCTACCTACCCTCCCACATACATTATAATGGAATAGCCCTTACATAGTTGTTTTCTGCATTGAGGATCCGTAGTTAGGCTATTGGGGACCAAAAGGTGAAAGTCCCTATATCATTAAGCAATAAGAAGTGATGTAGGAGAACACTGCAAACTCTCCTTAACCTGTCAATGGTTTAAAATAACATAATATATGTTTTAGTTATGACCATATATTTATTTTCTGCTTTGAAGATTCATCGAGGGAAGTAAAATTGTATTCGAATACCTCACATGCCATTTGGAAGGGAAACACCCAGCAATGTACTACTTCCAAACCACGTGAATTGAAACTTATACAACATGCTTAATATACAGTGCAGTATTGCAGTTTCTCTTTGTTTTCTGCATTTATGTTCCATGGGAATGTTTTAAGTTTTGGACCTATATAAGTGGTAGGGTTAGAATAAATGTTAATCTTTCCTGGTATATTTTTGTTTAAGTGCTTCCCTCCCATCTTTTTGTCAAAAAGTCTGGATTAACCAATAGTAAAAAAACAAACTGTTACTTGAGTCAAATATTATTTTATAAAAGAATAGTTAAAACATTACATTAGGCTTGTGCGTGCGACAAATTCAGATAAAGAAAGTAGATAGTTTTAATATTAAAGTTAAAATTTTTGTACTAAGATTATATTAGCTGTGTATCATATTGGATATTTTTCTGACAATGACATTTTTAATTCTTACAGGCTAGGCAAGAATTAGAAAAAATAAAGAGAAGATTAGAGTCTGAGCTAAATGATCTTAGAGACCAATTAAATGAAAAGAGACAACAAGTTGAAGATCTACAATACCAATTATCCAAGAGAGAAGAAGAGGTTCAACATGCACTTCAGAGGTAAAAGATGTGATGGCTATCTTTCAAATATTTATTAACAAGTTGTGTGGAAGGCAAGCATGGACATTTTTTTTTTCTATTTAAAGAAGACTTAGAATTATTCATATTTTGTTATCCAACATTTAAGGTAGAATTTTTTAAGGACACAGTGTTTGATATTCAATATTCTTGAGCACTTGGATTATGTTATATTTCTAATAGAAAAATGATCTATCAGACATAATTTTGTAAAGGGCAGAGCTAAGTGATTTACAGATATAAATTAATTGATTACCTACCAAATTCAAAAGATTAACTCAAAGGAATATGAATTAAATAAGATGTAATGTTTATGTCAATGAGATGGCAATCTAAAAACAAAATAAAACTAGACAAGACATCAACATATAGTCTTCAAATATAAAAAAGAACGTCTACTAAATGTCATGCTCTCAATTTCCGATAGTTTGTTATGATTTCATTTAACAGAAACAATCCAAAGATCTGCCATTTACACCCATTTATTTTGAAGAGGGGGGGGAATACGATACAACAAAGACAACCATTGACTAGGTTTTGACTTGAGACAAGCACATTAACATGGGTTAAAAACTAGCAAATGTCCGCACTGTTGAGATATAGAAATTCAAAAGGATTTAAACAAAGGAATAAAGAGAAAAGGCAAACATTCTAGGGTACAAGATTCAATGGTATCTTCATTGTAACAGATAACAGGTTATTTTTCTTTTACAGCTTGAAAAAATTAATAACTATTAGTGGTACAAAAATTACATTTATGCTGTAAGTTGTTGTTTTTTAGTGCTGAAGAAGAAAGTGTCAGTAAAGCTTCCTCAATGAAACAAATGAGAGAGGTACAGAATCAAATCCAAGAATTACAGGAAGACTTGGAAGCTGAGCGGGAGAGTCGGAACAGGGCTGAAAAACAAAAAAGAGATATTAGTGAGGTAAAAATTTCACTTTTAATTTAAGATTAAAGAATGAAATTAATCTTCTTAGAACAAAAACAATCTGACCTAAAATTTGTGAAAAAATAAAGAAGAGATGTAATTATTGAGATTGGAAAATACAAGTCTGTATATGGTAAAAAGTTTGCCATTCCATGCTCATTATTTTCAGTTATTTAATTAAATTATAAAATAAAATGGTTGTGTCTAATTTTAAGGAATTAGAGGCTTTGAAAACAGAATTTGAAGAATCATTAGATGCTACAGCTGCTGTACAAGAACTCAGAAATAAACGTGAAGATGAACTAAGAGACTTAAAAAAGAGCTTAGAAGATTCTCAAAAGAAATATGAAGGCAATTTATATGAACTTAGATCGAAACATAACCAACAAACAGAAACATTAAATGAAGAATTAGAAAATGTTAAAAAGGTAAGTGATGTAAAAACATGTTTCTGGAATAACTTCCATCAGATAGTCATGACATGTTGTTTGAAAGGACAAAATATAAAACTTTTAGAGCAGAAAAAGCAAAAGGATACAATCAAAAAGTAATATTAATTTCAATTTTGAATTAGTGTAGTTAAACAGAAAGAAAAATTACTAAGCACTAAACCTTTTTTTACTAAAATGATAATGAAAATTAAAAAAAATAACAGAACTTTTCTATTTCAATTAAACATAACTAATGAAGTAAATGATTACATCTTACACTTATCTATTTTTAGAGTAAATCTTCATTAGAAAAAATGAAACAGACATTAGAACATGAAAATGCAGATTTAGCAAATGATTTAAAGGCTGTTCAAATGGCTAAACAAGAATCAGAACGTAAACGTCGACAAGTAGAACAAAATTGTCAGGAGTTGACAGTCAAATTAACAGAAATGGAGAGAGTGAAAGGTGATTCTTCCGACAGGGCATCAAAACTCCAGGTCAGTACAAGTCACTAGTCTTTATAATAAGATTTGGTATAGAGTTGATACGAGTCAAATCCTTTTTATTGAAGAATGACTTTCTATTCAAAATGTTCTAGTCCGTGATCTAGTTCTTCGATAAAGTATTGGGGTTGGCTTATGTGAACACACTGACTTAATTTCTTTTATTATGATACACAGAATGTCCAGATAAGTTGATTGTACATATCATATTTTAACTTCTTGATGAATATGAAACTATTTATGAATATCCCCACCACCGATGATGAGAATTGAAATATGGTACAAAGTTAGCTCATGTATATAAAATTTGTAAATGCATATGCTATATTGATTATTGTTGATTCAGTAGTTTTAGGGGATATTTATTATATTTAACACAAAATTTCTGCTCTGAGAATTGTGAGATTTTATTGTTTTGTTGTCTAATGTATTCAAATAAAGGAAAGTTTATTAGTTTTTGGGCAATTTGATTTCTTTAGTTATCATTTATTAAATGAATAACAATGAAATCACTATATACACTGTATCATTCATCAAACCATTTCATGTACACTAACCTTTATGCATGACTATTCGTTAAGTATCATAACTTTGTTATTTCACAAGACAACATTTTCATTGCAGAAAGTAAAAGTTTTATAAAGAAGTGAATATTTTGCCTGTGTAAATTATTTTGATTATATTTCTTTACAGAATGAGTTGGACCAAGTTACTGCACAATTAGAGCAAACTGATGCAAAGTTGTTACAAGTCAGTGCCAAGAACTCCTCTCTGGAAGCTCAGCTGGCTGAAGCTAATGTAAGTCGTGTTTAAAAAGAGTTTGTAAAAGAGACAGATAAAAAACCCTGGTCTTCATCTAAGGAGATTATCTTTTTATGTTGAAAGTGGAAAGAGAATGAGGAAGGAGATTTGATTATGTAAATTGCATGATGTGGATCATGGATTTAAATTTGAAATACCAAAATGCAGGAGAACTTGCAACAATGACTCAGATCTTTGACCTATTCTATATTGCATAATAGAAGTCTAAAATCTATGCCCAGGCTCAAATCTGTCCTTTTTTTCTCAGATCTTTGTCCTATTCTATATTGCATAATAGAAGTCTAAAATCTATGCCCAGGCTCAAATCTGTCCTTTTCTCAGATCTGTGTCCTATTCTATATTGCATCATAGAAGTCTTAAAATCTATGTCCTTTTTTTCTCTCAAATCTTTTCAATAAGGTATGCACTGTCCTATGTGATGTATCAAAACTTTAAAATACTTTATAGTAGTAGAAATCTGTAATTTTAAAAACTGTCGACTTTTTACAATTTTTTCTATAAAAAGGGAAAACATGCCATGCTTTTATCATATATTATCATAACTGGATTTCTTTTTAATATCAAATGAAGTTTTAATGCATGGAGGTGCAAAAAAGTGATGAAATCAACAATAACTTTCAAATTCTGAAAATGTCTGGAAATATTTTCACTGTTTGTCTATTTATTTGAATATTCTCTGTTTTCAAAGGTTTACAATAAGTAATATTATTTTCAGGAACAATTGCAAGAGGAGACCAAAGGTAAACTGGCAGTTCAGTCCCGGTTACGACAAGCCGAGGACGACAACCAAGCATTTAAGGACCAATTAGAAGAGGAAGAGGATCAAAAAGCAGCATTCCAAAAACAAATATCTGATTTACAATTTAAGGTTTGTGCACAGAATCTTTTACAGTTTGTAATATCAGAGACTTCTGAAAAATAAGTCAAAGAATGTGATGAATCAAAATTGGAGGAAAAAAAAAGATTTGTCACCTTTATAGTAGTCATATACAATGGTATCCCATTGACTTTTTCTTAATAAGAATAGAGATTACCCGTTGTCATATAATGGTTGATGTATTTACCTTCCATCAATGCAGAACAGACATGAATTTTTATTCTTTGTCATTTTTTAACAGTTTATTGTCAGCAGATATTGTTATTCCTAAGTACAGTAATGTGTGGGTAATTATTCTGATCTACATTTGTATTTCAATGAAAATAAACATGTCTGTATATCATCTGTAGAAATATTGAAATGTACATATATTTTTCTTGTTTAATAAATAATATCAAAATGATCACTAGGTAACAGAATATAAGAAGAAGGCTGAAGACGAAACCAAAGTACAAGAAGCCTTGGAGGAATATAAGAAAAAGACAGACAGAGAAATGGAAGCAATGAATGCCAAATTAGAAGAAGCTAAAGCAATAAATGACAGATTGGAAAAATCCAAGAAGAAACTACAGCAAGAGGTAATATATTGGTTATGAAAAACAGCTGATTTACCAAATTTGAAATTTAATTGGGATTGATTTCTTCTTGGTAGTTAAATCTTTCTTTTATTATTTGCAATTACATAACATTAGCATTTATTAACTTTTGTTCACTTATTCAACTTTACAGTTAATGTATCAAGTTTCTTCAAATTCAATGAAAGCGTTGTTGCTGTAAACTTTTTTTAGTGTACCCAGTCTTTAAACTAAAACTACAACCAATAGTTATCTCTAATTTACATTTCTTGTTTGCTGTTTTCAGGTAGAGGATGCTAATGTAGAATTAGAGAGTCAAAGGTCAGCATTTACACAGAGCGAAAGAAAACAAAGGAAATTTGACCAGTCATTAGCAGAAGAAAAGGCAGTGTCTGAGAAGTAAGTCTTATTTTAAGAATGATTGAATGAACAAATGTATTATGGTATATAGTACATTAACATAGAGCTGTTAAGGCTGACCTGTGAAATGTGTTAAAATGATCTTCATTGGCTTTAGCTGGAAGTAGGCTTATTTTTATAGAGTAGTTTTTTATATGAAGATGAATTCCATGTGGTTTGGGCTTGCAAATGAAACCATTCGATGACATCCAAAAAGCTCTGCCCATTCACAATACGAATTGTTCAAAATTTTTTTTCATGTTGCAATTTGAATTTATCTGCTGTGGATTAATTTATATTGTAGTTATCAATTTATTGCAGATTTAAGAAACTTAGTTATTTCGTGGATACTTGAATTCATGTTTTTTTTCACAAATTCTGCATAAAAGATTACCCGTATAGGAAATTTGTATTTTATAGAACTTTTATACTCCTGGTTCACCTTTATACTGGAAAATTCACAATATTAGGAGTAATAATACCCTACAAATAGTGATGAACCCACAGTAATCAAACTGATCAACTGATGAACATTTTTAGTCCTTTGCTAGTGAAAGGTTGCAAGTATAAAGCAAGTGCACTGTAATAAGAATATTCTTACCATCCAATTTTAGTGATTGACTCAGTTTTTAATGAGAAGTTGGAACAATTTGATTGATTGGTAGAATAAGGGTACTTTGCAGAGTTTTATTGAAACCTTTGGTAAAAATATAACCATTGCTATAGGGAAAAATACTGTCTTACAGTTTAGTTTGTGATTAATTTACCGAAACGTAATATTTAAAAAAGAAAAAACTCATGGATAAAGAAGAATCTTTCTGTTTTATCAGATTAGCACAAGAGAGAGATTTGGCTGAGAGAGATAGCAGAGAAAAAGAAACAAAGATCCTGAACTTGACTAGAGAATTAGATGAACTAAGGGAATTGTTCGACAAACAGAAGTCTTTAACTACATCTCAACAGAGAGAGCTGGATGACCTTATGTCCTCTAAGGATGATGTTGGCAAGAGTGTAAGATTTTACCTTTTTATATACTTAGATGTACACTGTATAGAAATACAGTACTCCATACTCATTTTGTGATGAATCAATAAAACTTCATATGTCAATATGCATATGTTTGCTAATCTGCAAAACTTTTTATGTGCTTAAAAATGAAGGCAAGAAAAATAAAGCAAAAAACACCAGACACATGCTTTCAAATTTGGTTTGCTTCAGCTTTCAGATCAACATTGCTTTCTTGTACCAAAGTAGGTAAATTGGTCAAAATAACCTAATTGACAGGAAAATTTTGTCTGATTTCAATTTTTTTACACTACACTATATCAGTTTTTGTATTCAGATAGTTTTCCAAATTATTAGGTGCATACTTAATTGTCAATCATGATTACAGGTTCATGACCTTGAAAAAGCCAAGAGAGCAATGGATGCCATGTTGGAAGAACAGAAACAGAAGATAGAGGAGCTGGAAGATGATCTGCAGACAACAGAAGATGCCAAGCTACGTTTGGAAGTCAACATGCAGGCCATGCGGGCTCAATTTGACAGAGATTTACTTGCTAAAGAGGAAACTGTTGAGGAGCAAAAGAAATCTCTTCTTAGACAGGTAATTACTTTTATGATTTACTGTAAATTCAGAAATTATTGCGTGCATTTATTGTTGTGATTTTTGTGGAAAGGACAAAAATGCGCAATTAATTATTGCAATTGCAGGAAAATCTGAATACAGTTATTAGTCCCCTACCGACAAAGTCGAGGGGACTTTAGGTTTGCACTCCGTCCATCTGTCTGTCTGTCTGTCCATCTGTCAGTCCGGCAAATCAGTTTTCCAGACTTTTTTTCTTCGTGCTTGAAGATATTGATTTGATATTTGGTTTATTGATTTATCATGACAAATTACAGGTCAAGGTCAATTTTCACGATTTTAGATTTTCTCTTTGTTCAGTTTCCCTTTCCCTAAAATTAAATTTTTGATGAAATAATTATTAATTAGTAGATTTCTGTTCAAAGGGAAATAACTCATTTTTTTAAAGATTTTTAAAAGACAAAATGACATTTTGGATTTTTTCCCTTTTCTTTGGTAAATTGTTTGAAGAATTTAGTGGTAGGTTTGTTTGTCATTCTTGAAGATATTGATTTGATAATAAGTATATAGTTATCATGACAAGTTACAGATCAAGTTGGAATTTTGTTCCAGTCTGATAATTTTGTGCAGAGTTATGATCTTTGGACATAGAAAATTCACTTAAATAATCAGTTTTCAACAGTTTTATTCGTCATGTTTGAAGATTTTGACTTGATATTTTTATGTAGTTTACACCATGACAAGTTATAGATCAAGTTAGAATTTCGTTCCATTACAATGAATTTGTAACCCATAGGGGACTATGTATTGCCATGCAATACTCACAAAATGCTTGTATATATCTGATATCAGAATGCGAGTTCTTATTATTGCGAGACTCACTTAATCGCATTATTCACATTAATAAAAACCTCACAATAATTTCTGAAGTTACAGTAACAAGTTTAAAAAATCATTCATTAATTAATCTTAATAGTTCTAGTGACTATAAATCATTCATTAATTAATCTTAATAGTTCTAGTGACTATTTATTACTTTCATAACAAAAACACAGCACATTTAAAAGGTTGAACATTCTGTAATTTGTTTATAAATATTTTTCAGTTGAGAGAGATGGAGGCTGAATTAGAAGATGAACGTAAACAGAGGGCTAATGCTGTCAACAGCAGAAAGAAATTAGAAAATGATATTAAGGATCTTCAACAACAAGCAGAGTTAGCTGTCCGTGTAAAGGAAGATGCTGTCAAACAGCTCAAACGTGTTCAGGCTCAGATGAAGGACAATCAGAGAGAACTTGACGACGCTCGTCAGTCTCGGGATGAAATGCAAGCCTCCATGAAGGATATAGAAAGGAAACTTAAGAATTATGAAGCTGACGTACTGAAATTACAAGAAGATTTGGCAGCTTCTGAGCGACAGAGAAGAAATGCTGAGGCTGAAAGAGATGAGCTTCAAGATGAGATTGGTAGCAGTGCTGCTGGAAGGTTAGTTATTAGTAGCAATATCAGACATTTATATTTTGGAGTTAACGTTTTTGGACTGATTAAAAAAAAAAAGCATCAGACTTTATTACTTTTTCTTAAGAGTCCATCAGAAAATCAACATTTTTAAACTGAAAAAATAAAAATTATTGCTTTTTCTAAAGAGTTTGTACATAAATAAATCAAAAAAGTAGGGACTCTTTACCTTTTCTAAACCCTGGCGTGGGCTATTTCTTGAAACAAAAAATGATGTTGTAGAGTTGTTGAGCAAGTACAAACAGCAATGCCAGGATAGAAGTTCCTTTTCATTACGTCTTTAGCCTATAAGTAAATAAATGTAAATGCAGACAAATGTGTCAAACCAATATTTGCATATTATATAAGCATTTCTACCATATCCAGAATCATAAAAGTTATTTCAGAAATAAATGTATTATTACAGATCTGCATTCCTGGATGAAAAGAGGAAGTTCGAAGCTCGTATTGCACAGTTGGAGGATGAATTAGAAGATGAACAAACCAATAGTGAAAGCTTGGTAGACAAAGCTAGACGAAGTCAGTTACAGGTAATGTGAACAAACCAATAGTGAAAGCTTGGTAGACAAAGCTAGACAAAGTCAGTTACATGTAATGTGAACAAACCAATAGTGAAAGCTTGGTAGACAAAGCTAGACAACGTCAGTTACAGGTAATGTGAACAAACCAATTGTGAAAGCTTGGTAGACAAAGCTAGACAAAGTCAGCTACAGGTAATGTGAACAAACCAATAGTGAAAGCTTGGTAGACAAAGCTAGACAACGTCAGTTACAGGTAATGTGAACAAACCAATTGTGAAAGCTTGGTAGACAAAGCTAGACGAAGTCAGTTACAGGTAATGTGAACAAACCAATAGTGAAAGCTTGGTAGACAAAGTTAGACGAAGTCAGTTACAGGTAATGTGAACAAACCAATAGTGAAAGCTTGGTAGACAAAGCTAGACGAAGTCAGTTACAGGTAATGTGAACAAACCAATAGTGAAAGCTTGGTAGACAAAGCTAGACGAAGTCAGTTACAGGTAATGTGAACAAACCAATAGTGAAAGCTTGGTAGACAAAGTTAGACGAAGTCAGTTACAGGTAATGTGAACAAACCAATAGTGAAAGCTTGGTAGACAAAGCTAGACGAAGTCAGTTACAGGTAATATTTCAGTGGATCTTGAATAAAACGCGATATACAAAATTCTCCATGATCTGAGATTAATATGTCCATTTTCATGTTCCATTTTCTTTGCATTCATCATAATCATAGCCGCCCATCTTGATCCTCGGTCATAAACCTATACTCAGTACTTTTGATCTGTTGATTTCTGAGTCTGAATACGATAATCATGCTCGAAAGTTCTATGACCGCAAGGTCAGGGCTCATTTACTGGTTGTGGGTTTTATTCCTTGAACATTCATATTCAGGAGTAAACATAACAGTTGCTAAATCTTTGTTCTAGAATTTACCAATAGTATATATTCTAGATAAATATGTGTTATACTACTTTAATTGGAAATATAATTAAGAAAATTGCCAATATTGGTTTTTGTAGATGGACATACAACTTTCATTTCTTTTCCTTTATACAGGTAGATCAATTGACAGCTGACTTGAATTCTGAGAAAACAGTAACACAGAAATTAGACAACCAAAGGACTTCATTGGAAAGACAAAATAAGGAAATGAAGGAGAAATTAAATGAATTAGAAAACACATTACGTACTAGAACTAAAGCTACTATTGCATCACTAGAAGGAAAGATTAGTAGTCTAGAAGAACAATTAGATATAGAATCCAAGTAAGTTCACAACTTGAAATTTGGTCCCTCATTTTTATATCTTTTTGACTGAGATTATTGATAAATGATGGAAAAAAAAGCAAATCCAATACAAATTTGACCAATATGGCACAAATCTAAAGCTGATATTGACACCCTTTACATTTATACTTAAATGGAGTTTGGGGTAATTTCCGATATTGACATTTCCAACCACACATAGTTTAATCTGTCTCTAAATAATATTTTTAAATATTTTATTATAGAGAAAGAAATGCTATGCAAAAGGTTAATCGTAGACTAGAAAGGAAATTTAAAGAAATGACAGTACAGGCTGAGGAAGAGAGACGTCATGCAGATCAAAACAAAGAGCAGGTATGCTTCATTAGTTTATAATCATACGTAGATGTATATGTTGTTTATTGCTTCACCAGCAGACCGTTTTTTTAAGTATATTTTAGAAAAATAATAATTAGAGTAAGATGAATTTTGAAGTTTCATTCTAATGTCAGTTCCAGTTTGTATTTAGCAAAATCTGATCAATTATTTTATGTATGTATATAATTAGGGTGCACATACAGTTTTTGCTTTAAAGAAATTACAAAGGATTTAATGGAATACTTGACTTCACCCTTAGATTATTGGGAACTAAAACTTGGACAGTATAATGTTATTAAGGCCCTTTACTGTACTTTCAGAAGGGCTTGGATACAACACAATCAATTTCGTATCACATGTAAAAGGCTGAATTTTAAAGATATTCTGAAAGAATTATTTAACACAGAACTGTGTAGAAGTAATGCATGGATGGGAATTTCATGATTTTATTAAATAAATGTTGGCAAAGTTTCCAAAATAGCCATTGTTAACGATTTTTCTGATAACTGTATTTAAAAAAAAATTCTGATTTTATCTACATAGCTTTTTCAGTGTGAATATGGAAAAGAAATGTTTAGTTTTTACTGTTTTTTTACAAAAATTCCTCATCTTCTAATTTAAACTGAATTTCAGTGTCTATATGTACAAGCAATTACTATGAATTTTATGATATTTAGGCTGATAAAATGATGAACCGTGTTAAAGCTCTGAAGCGTCAAGTTGATGAAGCGGAAGAAGAAATCACACGGTTAAATGCACAGAAGAGAAAGATACAGAGAGAATTAGATGAACAAATGGAACAGAATGAAACAGCTTCTAGAGAAATTAATCAATTAAAGAAATACAGGTAAAAAAAAAATTGAAACTGCCCATATATCAGTTTTTCAACAAAAATTTGCACAAGAGATCTTATTTGGAAATGATAAAGATATGGAGTCTATTGACATGTTAAACAAGAGAGTAAATATGATTTAAAATGGTAAAATCATTAGAGTAAAATGTTGGGGGTAAGCTCAGATTGGTTTAAAGTCATTGTTTCAAACATTTGCATGACGATTACACAGCAGTATAAATTAACACATAGTTGCATGTTATTTAACTGTTTTGAATATTTACACATATATTTTGAAAAAAGCACTGTGTTCAAATGTGACTTGTATGATTCTTAATGTGTGGATTCCAATTTTTTTTGGTTTGTTTAAAAAAGGGTAACTTTCTAAGGGTTTAATGGTTATTTCCTGCATGGCCACTTCAAGTTGAAGTCGGGTATCCAATTGACTCAATCAATGTAAAAGTCGGTACTCCTAGGTTTTTGTCCCACGTTTTCTCAACTATTAATTAGAAGAGCTTAATATTTGTCAGTGAACTGCATCATCACTGTTTGACCCATATTCATATTTGTTTCTATTTAACATTTGCCTTCCAAAGTTTTATAGTTTCCATTGCATTTTATTCAACAACTAACTATAAGAAGTTAGTTGTTAGTAGTGAGCTTCATTGAGGTTTGCTATACCTTTTGAAACTTGCACATATACTTTCTCTTCGACAAATGCATCTATGTCATATCGGTTAAAGCAAGAAATAAAGTTGTCCCATTTTTATTAGCTACTTCATATCAATAGTTATAGTTAAATTAAAATGTCAAGCTTGCCTACACTCTATAGCTCTTTTTTTCAAACTTGTTTTTGTTTACTTCCAATTTTCTGAATGCAGGTCACTGCGTGGCCCAATCTTCATACCCATTAGAAAGCTACTTTTTATTTGTTGAAAATATATTTGTCAATGAAATTTCATTTAACCACTTTTTCGGATAGCCAAAAAAAGATATATACATGTACATCAAATCAATAACAAGTTGCAGGGGATCTCCACAACTGGTGTTGGTATTGTTGAACATATGGTTGAAAGATTTTGCCGTGGTTTCACATGTATATCAGGCTTATACTATGGGAGAATAAGGGAAACAAAGGACCTGTTTTGTGAAATAAATTTCTCCAGATGGAAGTGGATATTCTTAAACTCTTCTTTTTCTTATGCTTTAGCAAGTATCTCCTTTGAAACTGTAGTTTACCTACATCTTCTGTTATACATGGTTGAAACTAGCCTTCCTTTGGTGCATTGTATCAATCAAATGATTCAGATTTGTATCCCACAAATAATGAAAGTGCAAATCCTGCCAAAACCAATCATTTAGGAACTTAAACATTTTGTTCTGTTTCAATTGATTTGAATGATTTATGTCCTTATACAAGATATAAGTTTATACAGGTTTTTTTTACCTATGGGTTGGTTTGGAGATTTTGATGTATTTTTACAATTTTAATACTTTGATAAATTCTATATCTTCAGGTCTGATCGCTACATTCACTCTTTGAGATACATGTAAATAACATAGTGTATATATTGTTTTTTAATTTGTGTGACAAATTTTATAACAAGTTTTCTAAAACCTTGAAACATGTAGATTTTGAGATTAAAAATGTGTTGGATTTCATATTAAATTTATGTAATGTTATTTCTGTAGAAGTCATGAGATTAAAGTCTGGCTTTATCAAATTATCTGATAAATTTATGTTATTCAACAATAATCAAAAAGATACTTTTTAAAATAAGTTTTTCTTTTTGAACCTTGAATGTCTTTGTGGTATCTTTGACCCTCTCTTTTACATCACATTTTATAAGTGTATAGTGTTAAAGAATGTATGACAATGTAATAACCAATATTACAATGTATGACAATGTAATAACCAATATTACATTGTATGACAATGTAATAACCAATATTACATTGTAATAGTAGATAACAGAGGATTGTTAATATGGAAATAACATTACAAAGTTTTAACATATCTAAAAATGGTGTTCAGTTGTAGCTTCAGATATATGTTTATGTGTGACTTACAAAAACTTTGTGATGACCCATTAGTTACAAGACTTCATTAAAATTCAATTTATCCATTATTTATCCAAGATTTCAATAAAATTCAATTAAAACAGTTCAAATTTCAGATGTAAATGAGAATCAGAAGTTTTCATTTCATATTGAATATTTGACATGGAATCAACAAAATGTAAGAACACAGTACACTTGTTGTGATTTGATTTATTGATTGTTGTCTCCCTAACATCACCTTGACAAACAGTGGATTAATATTGCCACACATTACTTATATGCAGCCCTTTGTTCAAAATAACTTTAATAAATTCAAAACATGCTGCCATGAAGTTTATTGTTCATTGTAAACTTTGTATGAAAATTTATAAAACAGTGGATCCAATGAAACTTTACTTGTCTTTCAATTCCATTTCATCTAGGAGATTAGTACAATCCTAGAGGAATTTAATATTAATCTGATAGTGATAAAAATTCTAATGTTTAAATTTTACTTACTAAAACAGTATGTGATGGTTGAAACCATACAGAAGTAGTACAAAAAATACATAAAGTATATCTATGATACATTAACACCTGAAGTGAGAATAATGTATATTTTTGGGGTTTTTTTAAATGATAGATGCAGACGGGAGGAGAGGGGTGTTGGCCCTGACATTTAAATATTTCAATAATTGAGCTATCAATAGAGTAAATATAGCAAAAGAGAAAGCATCTATGAATTAGCATAAATTTAAGAAGAAAAATTTTGCATTTTGCATGATGATATGTTGGTAGCCAATAAAATAATAAAGTAGATGTGTTGAAATTCTAAAATTATAAACTTTTGTAAGCTTATTATTTTTTAACCAGTTTTGATCGTTTAAATTATAATGAACTTGAGAAAGTGTTTTCTTGACATTTTAAAAGGACACAACAATATTTCCAATACTTTAATAAACGTGTTATGTGTCATATTTTTCATCTCAGAAAGAATTTGTTATAAAAACAGAATAAATAATTGAAACCTTCTAGGTAGTTCCTTAAGTATGAAAAAAGTAACCCCGATTCCAATGTAGCCCTCTCTAACAAGCTTCTTTGGTAAGGTTGTAAACGGAATTACACATTATAATTTCTTGCATCCAAAGTGTAGTTTGACCACTTCTTCTAGGCTAATAAAGCTCCAAGATGGAACTGGAGTTGAAAACACGGAAATACAATTATTGTATCCACTGTAAAATCTGAAGTGATCCATAGTCAATGGTCACATTTATAAAGATTTGATATTATTCTTAGTGTTAATGCGAAATGGTAAGTTCTTTGCATGTTGCATTATCCACATGCCCGTTTCTGCAAATTTGTTTGGTAAAATGTTAATCATTTGTGCATGGGTTTTTTTTCCCTCAAAAACCTTATTTAGTATTACTTTTGTTTTTTCAAAATTCTGTTCATACCTCAATTTTTATATTTTATATGACAAATGTTTTAACACTTTACAAGACATTTACTTAAAATAGCATATTTGATGTGTATTTGCTTGAACATCAATAAATTAATCAAATAAAAATCCTTTTTCAATTATTCATTAATTATGAGTGGTATATTTCCTTTGCCAAAAAATTCGCTCTGCATATGGTAGCAGTTTTAGTTGGTATGCCTAGCAGTTTTGTTTGGCAGATCTTCATACAAATTAATTCTGCATATAGCATCACCAAGCTTGAGCATCCATGATTGGATAATAGCATCTTTTTGGCTAGAAAAATAACGTGCACATAACTTGTAACTTTCATGAAATCAGAAGTGCAAAACGCTTCATTAAAATAAAACTATGTTCATCTTCTTGTGTTGTCTCTCTATGTTGTATGAATGTGATGTGTGATTAATTTTTCTTGCTGTGCCTAAACTTTATGTAGTGTATATGTATATTGATCATATTAATATTCAAGTATTTAGTAAATATAAAATGCATTGATCTATTAATAGACTTTTAGTTCAGTAGCGACAAGGTATAAACTTTTAGAATGGTGTTATTGACATTTTATATAAAATAATTTACTGTTAACTTTTTGTGTTGAGAAGAAAACTTAAAATGTCATTGAGAATTTAAAAGATTATTTTATATATTCAATGCATTATTTGTTGGGAAATTCTTTGTCACACATGGTCATATATCTGTATTTTGAAATATTTGGCAGTTATTTATTTGTATGGAGGTGAAGTCTAATCACCTTTTCAGTCTCTACTCCATAAAGATGTCTTGGAGGTTAACTGGTGTCTTTAAAATATTTTTGCATGTTTGAAACACTAGAATAATGTTGGATTTGTCACAAATTACTTACAGCATGGGTGGAGCATGATTAAGGAGATATTTACATACCTTATTTACATTTTAATCAGCATTTTAATGTTTATTATTATTATTTTTAGACCAAGTGCTTCAAGAGCTGGAACTCGTTCAACTGTCCTGTCTTCCCTTAGAGCTGGTGATCTTGATGATGATGACGATGCTGATGAAACTAAAGAAAATGCTGAAGCATAACCATAATAACTATTATATTTAATTATTTAGTTGTTTATATTATTTAAATGTTATTATAGCTCTCACAGCTTTGCCGATAAAAACAAATCGTCTTTTTGTTTTTGTTTCTTTTTTGTATGGTCTTATGTGACCTTTGTTTTGTTAATTTTATGTGAATGAAGTATTTTTATACAAAAGAGATCTGTAAGCCTTTGTTAGGTTTTCTAAAGAAGTGTGCCAAGTATGGTAAAGTTGCAAAGCAGATAATAATTAAAAAAAAAGCATTTTGTATGGCAGTGCTATAGATATTATTGCTTATAACGATATTTATGTATATTTTGAATCATATTTCATGATTTTGGACATATTATTATATGATAATTGAATATATCATTATCATGATTTCCATCCGCTGAAGATCTTTCAAACTATGAAAAAAATATAAAATTTGAAATTTGAAGAAAAAAAAATTGATTCATGTCTGCAAAATGCAATATTCTATCAAGTGCTATATAACTATTAAATAGTTGCTATTGAGTTGTATATATTAGAAAAGTTTCATCTTTATATGGACCATATGTCTAGTACCTCTACTGACACATGAAGGCTCACAATGGGCTGTATTTGGGGCCTTCTTATGTGATTGAAAATTAACATTCTTGACATTCTTAACAGTATTTATTTCATATCAGAAAACATTTGTTGACATTTTGAAATGCTGGAATTTCATTTTTTATTATTAGGCAATAAATTTGCTAGTTAAATGTTCTTCCTGATGGTTAATTTGGGGGAAAAAATTAAAGTGAAGAATGTTACATGTACATTAGTTTCCTAACCTAGAACCATTTTTCATACATGCATTCCAGCAGAGTTTTATTTGTCCACAATATAATCTTATTTTTATAAATTGTTAGTGATCGGTCAGTGATATGCAATGGAATATAGGGAACAATATTTTGAATATTTTTTTGTCATCATTATTTTTTTTTGTATAAATTGATATACATTGATTATTTAGATATTTAATAAAACATTGCTTATTGCTAGCTAAAACAATATTCATGGTGATAGCTCTGCTATTTGGATGGACATCTTGAATAAAGAAATGTAACCAACTTCTTGTGTTTCATTTTTCTGGTTGATAATTGTCATAAATAAAATGGGAATTTTATCAATATTATTGTAATATTTACAAGAATTTCTTTCTTATTAAAGAAAGCAGATGATCGTTAATTTCATCAGAGCCAAATTAAATAAAGTATTTATTTTTCATGTCCTGTGTCTTGGTATGGTTTTAAAAAATCTAGAACATCAGAATAATTACTCATGAAACCACTTGGTCACTTTGAATTAAGTTGGCAAGAGTACGTCAAATTTATTTGTTCAGTGTATGTTCACAGGTGTTAATATGTCCTTTGATTGAGTTAAGCTATTTCAGTTGATATTTTATAGTGTGTCTTTCTATGTTGCGATGTTACACTATTGTTTCAGAAAAAGGGTGAAGGTTTGGTACCATTAAAACGTTTAAACCTGCTGCATTTGTTTGCACCTGTCCTAAGTCAGGAATCTGATGTTCAGTAGTTGTCGTTTGTTGATGTGGTTCTTAAGTGTTTCTCGTTTTTTATATAGATTAGACCATTGGTTTTCCCATTTGAATGGTTTTACACTATTAATTTTTGGGGCCCTTTAAAGCTTGCTGTTCTGTGTGAGCTAAGGCTCTATGTTGAAGACCGTACTTTGACGTATAATGGTTTACTTTTATAAATTTTGACTTGGATGGAGAGTTGTCTCATTGGCACTCATACCACATCTTCTTATATCTATTTATGGAAGGCCCAATACAAGAATTGATCATTTCATTTTAATCACAAAAAAAGATGGTAATCAGAGTTAATTCTAAATTTAAATCTATCAGTTATGGCATTTTTTTCTTTGCTAGGAAACTAAAAAGCCTTAATTGGAATTTGATCTGGTGGTCTGTTTGTTGAACAGTATATTTTTCTTTTGACCAATATTGTTTCAAACATTGGGGGTAGAAAGTATTGAAACTCATAGACAAAACTGCAGATCCTATTTGTGACATGATTAACCCTATCTGAAGAAATCCTTGATTTATATGATTGTTATATTTTGAAATTTCTTCTCTTTTGTAACATTACACAGTGGGTCAAACAAAATATAACAATTTTTCCCGTTGATCTAAGTGATTTTACACTGTTCTATTTAAAAAAAAAAGTCGTGAAACATGTATAGAATAACAGGAATTACCAAAAATATTAGACAATACAACGGACTACACCAATCACCAACAATTTTCCTAATGCTTGTAGTTTAAAGGTTTGGTTTGCTTGCTTGCTTTGTTTGTATAAATGTTAGCTGAAGCATTGTAATTAAGATTGACATCTGCAATCAATAGATAGGCGGGGCTTCAGATTTTATACATTATACTCTGCTTTATACTTTACATCCAATAACATTTAAGTATAATGTATACTGAAGCCCTGCCTAACTATTGATTGCAGATGTCAATCTTAATTACAAAACTCCACCATAATATATACAAACAAAGCAAGCAAGCCAACCAAACCTTTAAACTACAAGCATTAGGAAAATAGCTCTAAATCAGAAACAAGACATGAAAGAATATCATTATACAGAATTAGTAATAAGGTATTGATTTGATGATGGAGGAATGGATGAAAGACTCAAATTGTAGGGTTGCACTAAATGTTTCTTAAACACTAGAGAATAGTCTTATACTGAACATTTAAATATACTGGTGTAGAAATATAAAATGGGGAAAAAAAATCATAAAACAACTCAATAATGAAAGGTTCACAACTTCAAAAGCTTTTCAAACTTTCTGTGAATTCCAAAGAACTAATAAAATCCTCCAACAATTCATTAAAAGCAACTGCACAAATGCAATATATATATGCAATCATTCTGTGAAGTTTCAATGATCTGTGCTGGAATCTGGGAGGAGTTAATTACACAAAACTGGTATCCTGATTTGTAAATTTGGCTGAAAAACGACCAAGTTCACAAATCTGGAAAAAGCAAAAATCATTTCTCTGACAATTGCGCAACTTCAACATGTGTGCAATATATCTCTGACGGTTCAGGGATCGGAGTTGAAAACTAGGAATTGATTACACAAAATGGTACTAGTACCATCTTTTGTAAATATTGTGAACAATTCCATAATAGCAGGTGCTTCAACATGTATGCAATCTTTCTGTGAAGTTGAAGGGATCTGGGTGGAGTTGATTACACAAATAAGAAATCCACTTTTCACCATCCGCCAGTCTGCCCATTCACGCGACATCACTGTCCTTTAAGCCGTTTTCTAACTTCATCCTAACAGACCAACATTGTTTCTTTTAACCTGGGAACAGTATATCTAACTATATATATGTTCCTGTTTTAACTCCTCTTCAGAAAGGGTACCTACATCTGGCAAATGTCAATTGATTAACACACGACTTACTTCTCCACTGTTCACAAACTTTCTTACAAATCAAGTGAACATGAAACTGTTTAGTTTCATTGAAGATAAAAAAAAAAAGAAGGAAAAAATGAAGGATACAAGATGCTAAGAACAATACAAACTGATCTATAAATCTATGGGCGGAAGAAAGAAATAAACAGAAATGTATCTGGATTTCCCTCAAACTCTTAATTTTTTTTATCTATACTTCGAGTTTCTTGTGAAATTTTTGTTAATCTGTCAGGGAAAAGCATATATTATGCATGTAAAATAAACACTAGGTAATATTATTTTTTTGAAGACCAAGTATGTGAAGAAAGGCAAATTTGCAGCAATTTCTGCTCCAGCTATATTGGAAATATACTATTTTAACCTAGTTTCAGGTAAAGTTCTATTTCTGCTTTTTAAAAGTAATGGACCTACTTTATTTCTATATTAGAATTTCAATTGCTGACTTAACATAGAAATTACCTAAAATTGCACTTTTCTTGGAAGTTCAGTAGGTCTGATATCTGTAAGCGGAAAACTTTGAAAAGCAGTTTGGCAATATCCAATGATTTTTTTATTTTTTTTTATCAGGGCTTGCTGCAACAAAGAACAATACAAGCAGTAATAGTTTTAATACAGTTATTAAAGACGAGCATTTAGATATCAAGTCAAATAAGCTTTATTTGAAGCCAGTAAGGCGAATAGCAAATGGACATTAGCTTGCATTGAGCTTTCAAACCAACAGACATTCATGCAAATAATTATGTACACTATACTTTACTGAAAACTGCAGAACATACAAAAACACGAAGTGGCAATTAAAAGCACACAAACCATACTTATAAAGTAAAACACATGTATGCATTTACAGATTAAACACAAAGCAGAAAGCATTGAATAAGACCATAATTGCAGAACAAGCACACCAACCATTAATCTTAAGCATAGTTCCTCATTGTAATTAAGTCACAATGCCTAAAGGCCTATATAATATTTAAAGAGAAAAAAAAACAAGTGCCATCCTTACCAACAAATTACCGAACTTTTCCCACTTTTCCGGTAGCCAAATCCGGAGAACTGTTGTAGTGTACTTGAAAGACTAGTTAATTTTCATACCCTATGGACTGCATTGATAAATGCCAATAAAATTGTATATCTATTACGTTATTTTAGAATCAAGCCTGATAAAACATGTGGTGCTAAGCTGTCCGTTATTCAAAAGTTTGCACATTAATTAATGTATTCTTCTTGCTTATAAGCTTACTCTTAAATCGGTCCTTGTGTCTGTTTTTTTTTAAGATGTCTTTTGTTCTTTGTGTCGATCTGAAGCGTCCAGTCTTTTTCAGCTTAAATTAACAGTTTATTCTTATGTTGTGCTGTCACACTTCTGTCTCAGGGATGGAAAGGGGGCATCCCTAATTGCAACAACTCCAAATTTCCCCCCTTCCTCCCCCTAAATTTCTTCCTAGACAAAAATCATTCAAAAGAAACTTTTCTAGCATATCCATATTTTATACTCCCCTATACTCCCGGTTCCCGCCTCAGTCCCCGACCATGTTTGAAGGATGAGCGCTCTCAAGCATACTGTACGTCTGTCCCAAGTCAAATAACCTGTATTTCAGTGGCTTTCGTTGGACGCTGCCTATCATATTTGTTTTTCGTTCATTGTTATGTACATAAATCAGGCCGTTGGCTTTCTCGTTTGAATAGTTTTACATTTTGTTATGTCGGGACATTTTATTACTTACTATACAGTTTGGGTTTCCTCATTGTTGAAGACCTTATTGAATATTGTGGCATAAAGTTCCTTACATCCTCGGCATTTGGTCTCTGGTGGTCTTTTTGAGTCTTTCATTGGCAATCAGATGCTTTTAAAGTTTGAAAATAGTGCGTCTGTTTAGCTTAATCAACTTCCAATACGCTTCAAAATAATCATCGGATGGACATCTTTTTCCACATTTTCTTTATCTTGACAAGTAATAAATTTCTTAAATGCATTTTGAGATTTTGACCACAGTTTTTTTCCAGCATACTTTATCCAATAGCAATTGCCTGAAACTTTTCCGGTTATATGTCTACTTACATTCAGAATGAAACCAATCAGTTAAAATATTGCTATCTGTTTGGAGAGTACCAATACGTTCATCAAAATTTGGTGAATGAAAGTTAAAGTGTTGTCATGTGTGATTATACATATCTTCTTTTTCAATGAAGGAAGCAATTGTCTTAAGCTCGAACCTTATGAAACACCTTTTTGATAACTGCCAAGCTTTCAACAATACCACCCATTTTTTATCTGCTGTTTTCTGTCAGACTATAGGATACCATGTGGTGGCATTATCAAATAACCCATATATATTGGTAGACATATGCTAAAGCAAGGATTTGTATAGTATTTTTATAGTAAGAAGTCTTACTTTACAAATCCTTGGCTAAAGCTACTTCAAATCTTACAAAAGTTTTAGCAAGGAATGTTGGCGTGCATGTTCTATCCTGAAAGGGTACATATACATTTCCGACCAATTCTGAAAGCTGTATTTCCAGCACATTTTCAAATGTTTCTGACAGATAATTATTTTTCGGGAAATTAACTTTTTTTCGAAAAGAGACTAAACCTGCATGTGCCTCATTAACCTA